TTACTAAATTCACTTTTTCTGTTACTAATGATATTAGAGACGGAATTAGAGATGGAATTACGTTAGCTACATGAACTTTAGGAACGGAATTCCGTTACAAATATACTAATTTTTTGTAGTGATGTTATTTTTTCAAATTGATTTGATTCGAATAATATATTTTATTTATAAAAAAAACTATTATTTATAAAAAAAATTAAATTATTATATAATTTTATATAAAAATAAAATGTGCATACCACGGGTTACACACTAATATATATATATGCTCCACGAAAAAATAATAATAATAAAGTAAAAAAAAAGCTCAAAAATGTAAACAAAAAATATATTGAACTTAAATCCATCATATATGTATAATTTGATTGTGAAATTATCCTATTCTATTCAATTGATAAGATGAATAATTCAAGAAATTGTTGGATTGATTGCCACTGAATATATATGTCCTTGATATATAAGTCCGAACTTTCATTATTCTATCTAGTTTAAATTCAAACTATAATAAGAATAATACACTCACACTTCAAGTACTTTTAAATTTTAGTATCACATATATAATAGGATCTTTTCCCATCGATAGTGCTAGGTTTAGGCTTGAGCTTAGGCTTTGGTTAGATAAAGTGAGTGGGAACGGTGCTTTTGGGGGCAATCTCAAGAAACAAGCAAGGAGAAGTCAAGAATAATAATCGGACAGAAGAAGCATAGCAACTCGACCAAAGTCCGAGGAGCGAAAGGGATGGAGCGTCTACCCCAACATTCATAATCATATCTTCCATTCACCCATGGATGCCTTATACGGTTTCATCCCCCCAAATGAAGATTAAAATAATCCCTAATAGTATTTGTCCATGTATCGTCAAACTATTAAGAAAACTTCTTTAATAAGCATAGCTTATAAAAATTGTACTCTCTCTGTACTTTTGCTAATGTTCTAATTAATATTTACACGTTTTTTAGATAATTAGTTTTTTTTGTTAAGAATTGACAAACTTGTCATTTATCTTGTATATAAAAAATAAATGAGTAAATAAAGCAAGGGCAAAAGAGAAAATGATGTGTATAAAAATAAAAAGAGAACAATAATTGTTGGACGTTCCAAATATAAAAGTAGGACGTTAGTTTGTGGACGGAGGAAATATAATAGTTAACCAATAACTTAAAAGTGGACTGCTATAGTACTGATTTGATTTTGATTGCTTTCCCGGGCCGTGGTCAAGTTAGTATAATGAAGGGGACGGCCATAATGTTGTGTTAGCTTTGCCAACTTCTTGGGTTTCGGGTGGAGAAAAGGGGACGTGGGGACTCAGGTCGGGGCGTAGCGTATTAACCCCTGGTCACCCTAGTTCTAAACGTTCAAATTCTTCATAACTCGTTAGAGCATGGAATGCTGCACTAGAGGAATATGACCTTATTTTACAGAGTTTGCTAGATCGTCCATAAGTTGTGTCCCATGGTTTGATCATTCCCGGTAAAACGCAGCATGTTCAAATTTCTGATCGCATTTACACAGACGAATTGTAGCTCATTCTGCCATTTTCTAGTCTAAGCTTACATTCTAGGGATCCAACGAAAAGGCAAGTGAAGTTGGTGAGCCGTATAATGGGCAACTATCTCATGCGGTTCAGAGAGGACTCAGCTGCTTTTCTTCTCAAGACGGGAATCGTAATTGCGAAAAGATTGGAAGATCTGGCCAAAGAAAAAGATGAGTCAGCCAAAATGAAATATTACCAAAAGTAGCGACCACCAAGAGAGCATAGTAATGAAATATTTTTATCACCCATTTTTTTAAAAATCATTAGCTCCCCTTTCTTCTCGGAAAAAGCTTTCTCTATTCCCGCTCTGATATGTGCTATATATGATAATATTTTGCTATATTTTGAACAAATTTTTTATGCGGAATTTTGTATATATGCTCTTCATGGTGTGTTTTTTTTATTATGTAATAGATTCCATGGAGTTGACAAGTTTTGGGGCGTATTTGGGAGAAAATGAGCATAACGCATAAAGACCTTAGGCATGATCACGCAAGTATAGTGTGAAAAATATGAAAATTTACAAAAAGACCCTCCAAAGTAAATTGGAAATATAAAGATTATGTGAGGATTTAAGTCCAAAGGGGATCTAATTAAAAGAGAATCATGGGATGGAGAATTAAGAGATACGATTTTGCAATTGAAGTGGGGGGAAATGGACTACCACGTTCTGCACCAAGATACCAATTTCTTGAAGAAGATAGGGGAGAAAGAAGAACACGGCAGAACGCAAAGAACTTGGAGAAGGATTGTAGACGATTTTTTGGGGCATTCTTCTTCTATTCTATTATTGTTCTTCCTTATCTATTTTTAAAGAATTGAAGGCATTATGAACTTTTTTAATTGTATTATGTTTTCAATTTCTATGGATTGCGAGTAATTTCATTTTTAGCGTAAGTGTGAATTGGTGTTTGGAATTGAATTTGCGAGACTTGATTTTGGTTGAATTTGATGTTTATTGACATTTGGTATTTCTAATTCTTCTAATTTATAATTTTAGAAATCTTAAATTGATTATTGCGCACGTATTGATTTAAGATTTCGTAGTTAAATTGGAAATTAGCATCATAATTATGTAATTTTCTAATTGGTATGGCAACATAGAGAAAGACTGTATGAAATAATTGGAATCATTTTTGAACAAAACGCTTCTCTCTTTTAAAGCAAAGAAAGAAGTGACTTATTCAGCATGGTCTTTCGCATATGAAAGTGTCATCCTTTCTTTTCATTTTCCAAAAAGTGTCTTTCTTTCTCATTACCCCTGCCAGCAAGGTTTCCACATAGGATGTAAATATTTTGTTATTTAATTTAAGTTAGTTTTTATATGAAATATAAAAAAATGTAATATATAAAGATAATATTTTATTATAAAAGAATAAAATATATATTATATATTATTAAAATTTTGTTTTGGTTTAACAAAACTATAATAATTTTAATATAAACACAAAAGATTTCATTAATATTTAAAGTTGGAAAAGAAAATTATATGTATATATTTGTTTGTGGTTCAAATTAAAATTATATTACTCTTTTTGTCACAATTCAAATTATTTTTTTTACCATTTTCGTTAGTATTATTCAAAATATTATTTTTTATTTTAGTAAAAATAATCATACCCTAATACCAAAATACCTTTAATTTTTACCAAAATTTTAAGTATAGGAAAAAAATCATTTTTGGTCCTAATATAACCAAAACTTATTAATTTTGGTCATAATATAGAAACCTCATCAATTTTAGTTTCATTATAAATAATTTCAATCAATTTTGGTCTCACTGCTAAAAAACTAACGGAAATTGCTGACGTGGACGTAATAGATTTGATGTAGCAGTTGACATGAAACAACACGGCCATATATAATTATACACGATCATATTGTCATACGGCCGTGTCTAATTCAGTGTGCAATTGTACACGATCATATTTAATTCTGCAAGGTCGTACATTTCTATTTTGGTCTATTTTTTTTGTTATATATTTATTTTTAAAATAATTGATATAAGTTAAAATGAAAAAAAAAAAAAACAAGTAATCTTAAATATAATTAAGATGTACTCCCCGTTCCAGCTACATTGTCTAATTTAGTACAAGCACAAAATTTTAGATATTGTGTAACTAGTAAGTAATTAAGAAATATATTAGTGAAAATAATAATGATTTAATAAAAATAAGCATAGATTAAGAGTAAAATGACTAAATAATTTAATTAAAATAAAAAAAAATTATAAATTATGAATTTTAAAATATGATTAAAGTCGTATAATTATATTTCTATCAAAGGAAATGACAAATTATGTGGGATGAACGAAAATAGAAATAGTGGACAAATTAAGTGGGACGGAGGGAATATCAATTTTAATTCAAATATAAAAGTTTATCGATTTTCAAAATATATTTTTTTAAAAAAAATATAGCAAAAAAATAAAATTTTAGACCAAAATAGAAAGGTATACGGCCGTGTAAAATTAAACAGGGTCGTGTGTCAACTTGGCTGTGAAAAACGGTATATTGAATTATACACGGCCGTATATAATTGTACATGGTTGTACTGTTTCCAAGTCCGCTGCCATGTCAACAATTTCCGTTAATTTTTTACTTGTGTGACCAGAATTGATTAAAATTATTTATAATGTGACTAAAATTGATGAATTTTTATATTTTAATCAAAATTAATTTTTTCCCTAAAAGTATATTATTACAGCGACAATTAATTTATATATATGATCAAAATTACAAAAATATCAAAAATTTTACACATCATAACTAGCCAATAAAATATTATTATTTTTTAAAACTAATTTAAAGTAGAATAGAAAAAGTATTGTTTAATTTTTACTATTTTTAATAAAAATGTAGTATTATTTTATTTTATAATATCATATTAAAGTAATATTTTAAATTAAAAATCGAATCAATGTCAGGTTGCGTTCTCTGGTTAAGTTTAATAAAGATTTTTATTATTCAAATTTTAATTTTTATTCAAAAATATCGAATTTAACAATTATTTTTTATTATATTATACTATAAAAAAATTTATATTCAAAATATAATATTAATATCTATTTATATTACGTCAAATAATGGTTCAAATTCAATTTTTTACTAAAAAATACAAGACAAAACCCAAACCCACAAACACACTTTAAATCAAAACAAACAAACCCGTAGTCAGCTTGACCTAACTAATTATTCCCTTCACACAACTTCGCAAGTTGATCCAACGGTAGGAAAATTATCGTCAAATTTCTGCGTTACAATCACGCCATTAACGTGTATGTCTCTCTTCTATTGGACGGTGACGGAGCCAAGCATGACCGCCAGTAAGATTAGGACTGACGACACGTCAGCCACCAGAAAGACTATCGAGCTGACACGTGTACAGAGCCGCTAAAGCCAAAAGTGGGGCCGCTGACCGAACCCTTTAAATCTCTTTCTACTCACAGCCCTAAGCGCCAAAATACCTCTCTCTCTCTCTCCCCCCAGACGGGTTTTCTCTCTCTCTAAAAATCCTCGCTGTTCCTCACTCTTAAAAGTCTCGCTCATCACACTCATTTTTCGTGTGTCGTCGCTTGGAAGTTCTCGTTTTACCAGGTCGAGGATCGGTTTGGGTGCGTCTCGAGCTCATCGCCGGTACGGAAAACGCGAAACCCTCTTTTTAGATTCCTACGCGGCGTTGTGAGATTTTGTGTGTGATAGATTGCGATGCTTTGGTGTGCGATAGTTCGGTGGGTGGATTAGATGGCGATGATGATGATGATGATGATGTGGTTTTTGAATGGTTACTTGGAGATCAAGCTGTGTGGCGTGGCCAGGGTTTTGTATAATTGTAATTTTGGTTAATGGGGGGGTTTTGGTTTGGTGGAGTCATCGAGAGTTTGATGTTGCTTTTGACTCTGATATTGGAGTCTCTGCTGGAAATTTTTGCGTGTATCTTGTGTGTATAGAAGCTAAATTGCGGTGTGTATTGGAGTCCTTTCTTTTCGATTTTGGATTCAAGATTGCTCCGTGAAAGTATGATTCCTCATTTCTTTCCCTCTTTTTCTTGAAAGAACTGCTTTTGATTCTTATTCTTTTCAAGAAACTCAGAGAAGGATTGTTTTGCTCTGGGCTTAAGTGGTCCACTGAAGGGGAATAAATGCTCGCTCACATGAGACCGTATGCCTATTTTATGTTCTATGCCTGTTGGTTCGGTGATGCTAATTATCTGCCTAGATTGTTTGGAGTTCTTCAAATTTTACTACCTGAGAATTCTTCATCAGGGTTCTTTGTCTGGTATCCTTCATCTTCTGTAGCATATTACCCTGGGTATCTATTATTAATATGCATTTTCCATCATTTATATAATTGAAGGTGCTGACCAGTTTAAATTGTTTGTAAGAAATGGCTATGCTTCTCCATGGCCGAATAGTTTATCTAGTTGAGTTGACTACTTCTTTTTGTCTGTGGATTCACCATTTTTTTTTAAATTTTTACTGATGATTGTATTTATTCTTTTGTTCAGTTTCTTATACTTCAGAATAATAAATGGGATGTGGCAATCCCCCTGCCATGAGTGCAGAAGATGAAGGGCTTGATGAACTTTCTCTTTCTGCTAAACAGAGTGGAGCTAATGATGGTGACCAAACTCATGGTGCTAAAAATGTTGGAGCTGATACTATGAATTTGCTATCTATTTCATCTGGTAATGCTTATCCTACTCAAAATCGTGCCGTTATACGCCATGATAGGCAATCATACCGTCCTGAGTGTGACTATCAAAACAACCGTGCTTGTACAACATCCAGTTTCTCGAATGATTCAAAAGTTAATGAAAGTTCAAGTTTCAGAAGGGACCTGCCTGAATTCTGGAGAGAATCATTATATCCAGATTTGAGCATAAGCCAATTTCGTGATGCAGCAGACGGACACAATTCTTTCAGTGCAGAATGTTTGACGGACACAAATATCTCCTCTATGGGTTATAATTCAGATGTTCAAATGAATTGCGGGTTGCCAAGGTACGGGACATCATCAGGTTATCCATTAAAGGTACATGGAGCGGAAGCTAAAAAATTTAGAACTGGTATGCCACCAGTGGATGGAAAATATTCCTCTCCAGGCAGAGTTACATCTGCATTTCCGCATTCGGATAATTTCGGTGCAACAATAATTGAACAAGAACAAGACATAAATGTCATCCCCTTTCCAAATAGACCTCCACATAACGTCGATGGGAGTTTTCTAACACTTGGAACTGGAGGTGGTAGAGAAATCATATCGAACAATAATTTCAATCCTAGAGAAATTGCCAGTAGATTGGAGGAGGATACTGCTTCTGTACAATATAACAGTTCACATGTTGGGCAAATTCTACAGAACCCTTTGAATCTTAATGAGTTGACAGGTAGTTCTTCAAGGATTCAATCTAATTCTGGTGGATTATCCCGGCCATCATATATGTTGCCTCCGAGTATGTCTATCCAAGATGAACATTTTCAATACTTCAGTGTCTCGCAGAATTCAGACCAGCTCTCCCTGGCCACCCATGCTATTGCACAACCTACATTTTCAGGGAGATATAATAATTATGTACCTGATCCAAGTACATTGTCGTTTCCTTTGAGAAGCCCGCCAGCATATTTTTCTGGTCAATCTAGACAAGTTTTCATGAATGGCCCACCAGGATTTCTCCAATATTCATCCAACTTCTATGGAGGAAGCTCATTCAACCATGCACAGCTAGGTGATTCTTATGAATCACTTCTAATATCTGGGGCACCTGCTCCTTGCTTTGAAATTTCAGATTTAAAAATTTGGCTGTGATTATATTTCTTTCCATGTTGAAAGCTATTTCATTATTTGCAAAGTTGCTGCTGTTATAAAAGCTCAGTCTGAAAAATTATATGAAGAAGCTATATCTATGCCATTGTACTGGAACGTTCCTTTGACATTTGATTGGGTTAGGGAGCATGGGTGAACAATAACTTTTATTTAATTCACTACATGTCTGAACAGTTTTGGATTCAACCTTTTCTACAGGACAATATATTATTCCAAGTGATGGTAGAGGAACTATAAGTAGTGCTGGTGTTCATTTTCAGCCAAGAGGTAAGGCCCTTTCTCATTTTTGCAAGCAGTTAATTGACGATGATGATTCGATCTATGTTTACGCTTATTATCAGTCAGTGGGATAGTTATAGGATACATCATCTATTTAACGTACCTATAGATCACTTGGCTTTGAGGCCTGAACTATATTCTTGTTCTTTTAATCAACAGGAAATGTGACATCACTAGCAGGAAATACCCGAACAGAAGTTACTCCACTTGGTTCTTCTAGTGTTCAACCAATCGGTAAGCAAATTTCAGCACAGCCAGTCCAGTTGATTAGTATCATTATTGCCATAAGTTTTATCTCATGCTAGTTTTATTGAAGCTCCTCATCTCAGCATTTTGGCCAGATAGGAGTGAACATTTTTGCCACACCAATGAATTCTGAACTTTAATAGTTTGAGATCATGACAATGATAGGCCGCCATTCAAGAAGTGGGGTTGATAATGATATGATTTATGGACACTATAGAACATGGCATTATCTGGGAGTTTTTGTGCATACATTTGTAGAAGAATCACTGTGATCATAAGATAAATACATTAGCAATCAAATGCACTTTTGTTGAGTAAAATATATATTTTGTGTATGACATATGCTTTCCTTCTTTATATAAAAAATAAAAAAAGAAATTAATGTGACATCCCTCGAAGGGCTATAAATTATTTGACTTTACTTGCTACTTCTGGAATCAATCTTCGGATAATATATAATTTTTGCATGTTTCTTTTCTCTCAGGAAACTTAATTACTTCTCAAGATGGTCAACCTGTTCATTTCCACAGTAATAGTTCATATCCTGTGAGAATTGGTTATCCAGTTCCAAGTTGGACTCCTGTTCACTCTTCTGCAGCTAGCCAATTTCCTAAGAGACTTGGAGTTCAACCTAATGATTTTCCTACTCCTCAAATTGTCAACGGTACCTAATAAATTGTTAGTCAGTTGTGTTAGATAAGTGTTATGCCATTTCTGCTCAAATCATTATATGAATTTTTTTGTTATCATATTAGTGAAAATTTAGAGCTCTGAATTTCAATACAATATAATTGGATCAATCTCTATGAAAATAATCTAAATATAATTGTCCATGAAAGCATGACAAGAAAAGGAAGTTGTTTTCGTGGGTGATTCAATGCATAGAAACACAAATTAGGTGTTTGTGTTTTAATATAGGGATTATTAGGTCCTCTCAATATCCTTGGCAACTTTTAGGCAGCCTGCATTGGAATTAAGACAATAGGGCTGATTAGTTCTGCTGCAAATATGGTAAATGGTGAAAGGTGAAGTAAAGACAACGGAAGATGCAAGAAAATATCTTGTTATCCTTTCCTGCCCTAAGCCTATGTAAAAATCTGTAGGACAGATTCACTTCAGTTTTTGTACAAACTTGATTAAATTGATACCCTAATTATAGTCAAACTTCTTGTGGTTACTGACAGATCAATTTCAAAGACCTGTTCGACCTCAATACTTTGGTATGTGTAATCAACTTCACTCCCTGTGATTGAACTTATTTCACTTACTCAACATTACAAACTATTCCTTCTTTTTGTTGCTTCTGTTTTTGGTAGGTCCTCTTCCAACAAATATGATGCCAACTATCCGTCGTCCTAGCCCTGCTTTATCATCAGGTATATCCGAAAAGTATCTGTTGTGAAATAATGCACATATTACTATAGGCGCTAATGTGATATGCCTTTCTATCAACATAGGTCAACAATATCATTGCATTCCAGCCCATTTTGGTAAGAATCTTCTGCAAGTTGATTATTTGAATGGTATCAGTTAATGTGCTATCTGATGCCTATTGTGTTAACTGCAGAAACCAATTCATGTGGTAATAATTGCTAATTTCTCCTACTTTACAGGTCAGATGCCTCAGGTTTCAACATTTGATCCAAGGCCCCAACCTCCTTCTCCCGGCGTTCCCCGTCCATCTTTGAAGAGACCAGCCACTGAAAATCCTCAAGCAATACAATTGAGCAGACGGAGGAAAGGTATTCCTGCTCGTGGTCGTGGTGTACTTTCTTCTGATATTCACAACAGGCCTTTGGCCATTGCTGCACCTGCTCCAGGAACTGTCCGCAGTCCATCCTCCCCTCATCATATAAAATGGAAAGGTAGGCATCTTTGATCATACTTTCTTATGCTATGAACTTTTCCGTAAAAACATTAATAATACTTTGGCACTTGATGTTCTTGGCCTTCTCTAGTTTTACATAGTCTTTTGGTATTGAAATTTGTTGTGCCTTTTACTTGATTGGATTAGTTACTTTGTCTGACCTACTCTCATGTTTATTATACTTTCTCTCCCTCCGGAATAATTATGTCCTTTTCCCATAGCATGAAGACTAAAAAATAATAATATTTTAATATAAAAATAATAAATATATAAAGTGAAGTATGGATATTATGAAAAATCTATTAGAGAAGTTATTAAAAAAAAAGTGATGGGATAAGTAGAAAAGATAGTGGCAAATTGATTATTGTTTGTTAAAGTAGAAATAATAAAATCGTGGGTTGCTATAAACTAATTTTGCATAAGTTTAATAGATAGCCAAAAAAATGTGGAAGTGTCATAATTATTTGGGATGGGGAATTACTAGAAAAAACATACATGATTAGATATTAGCCTATCCCCAAAGGTCTGCATTACAATAGTTCGAGCATCCATGATTCAGAACAAGGGGTAACGTCTTCATGACCTTTCTTGCATGCTTAGAAAACCTGTTAGCATAGTTTTTGTTGTGATCTTGATACGGGAGTAACACCAACTTTCATTGTTCTTGAAAATGTGGAGAGAGCCACTAGAGTATAGCACCGTGAATGATTTCTTCTCATCCCCTATATTTTGTTCGTCCATCCATCTAGCCGTATGTTTCTTGATGCAACAGCTCCTAACATGAATATTGCATATGTTTGTAGGTGTTGAGGAAATGGTTAATCTAACCGGATGTAAGTGTCACTTATGCAAGAGGGATCTCTCACTTACAGCAGAAGGACCGGCGTATCAGCCTACTATTCCTCCACCCGCTGCTGTGCTACCATGCGGCCATACTTTTCATGACGATTGCTTGCAAAAAATCACCCCCCAAGACCAATCAAAAGATCCTCCCTGCATTCCATGCGCCATTGGCGAAGAAAACTGATTCTTTTCCAGGTTTGATTCCGGACTCTGGCCTGCTTCCAGAAATTTTGAAAAAACAAAAAAGGAAAAAAGAATTTGCATTGTTGTCTGGGGATTATAGTGAGAAACTGAAATCGGAATATTTTAGCTTTAGCTAGCTACATAATTGATTGAAACTGTACATATACAAGGTTTACGTTACTTCCTTCCCCATTGTGGTGGTTTTTGTGTATTACTACTAACAAGGTGGTTTCGATCGATGGTAGTCCTTTGTATTCTTGCCAGTCTATTAGAAATGTGATAGTTCTTTAGCTTCTGGGAAATGTCCTGTTGTTGTTGTTGTTGTTCTTTGCAATGAATTGGTTATCTATGGGGCATTTGTCTACTCCACAAATCGGAAATGTGTTCATGCTTTCAGCACTTGAATGACTCAACAACACACTAACTTACGGTGTGTTTAGTTATGAGACGTTGAATTCGAAACAGAGTTGTGTTTAAACACGGGCATAAGCAGTTTAATGAGACGATGAATTTAAAATATGGGTTGTGTTTAAACACGAACAAAAACAGTTTAATGAGACGATAAATTTAAAACATGGATTGTGTTTAAACACGGATATAAACAGTTTAATGAGACATTAAATTTAAAACATGGGTTGTGTTTAAACACAGACATAAACAGTTAAATGAGACATTGAATTTGAAACATGGGCTGTAAACACGGATATAAACAATTAAACGAGACATTGAATTTGAAACATGGGCTGTAAACACGGACATAAACTTTATGTTTAACGAGACGTTGAATTTGAAGCATGGCCTATGTTTAAACACGGACATTATAAGTTTAATGAGACGTTGAATTTAAAACATGGACTGTGTTAAACACGGACATTAACCGTTTAACGAGACGTTGAATTAAAACATGGACTGCGTTTAAACACGGACATAAACAGTTTAATGAAACATTGAATTTGAAACATGGACTGTGTTTAAACATGGACATAAACAATATAGCATGTCAATCTTTACCTTTATTACAGTTATATTTCATTAAAATTTTACCTATGGAATAAAAAATAATAATTAAATTTTCTATAATGAAATTAATTTTGATGAATTTTTTTTAATATATATACACATAGAATTTGATTTGAATTATTTTATTTTGGCTCTAAAATTTGTTAATTTACAATTTTTTTAAAGAAGTTGGTTCATTTTGATGGAAACAAAAAAAAAAAACAAAAAACACTTCACATATTTTGTTGGACCAAAGAAAATAATCCTATTCGGTATTTCTTTTAAACAACGAATATGTATAAAATAAATTAATAAAAACTATAGAAACAAAAATAGAAAGCATCCATTGATTGAATTTATTTCATATGCACATTGAAGACTCGGAAGGAAAGAATGGCCGATTCAGACAATCCCTTTCCCTTCTCTTAATTCATACTTAACAATAATGTATTATGTAATGTAATTTGTACATACTCATAAATAGATAAATACATATACATATACATATATACACATTATTATATACACGTTACATTACATAATACATAATACAATACACCTCGATCATCTTCTATCACACATCTGTCTGTCTGTACAGATTTATTCATTCAGAAGATGTGGGCTTCTTTCTTCCTCATCCTTAATCATATGCATCAAACCAATGTCATAAAAATAATCCGATCCAATCCAATCCGACGATGAGTTTAGATGTAAGGATTGATATGAGAAGTGTAGTCACGAATCCCGGCTCCTTCCCAACCCATCCACTCTTCCCACAAATCCCAATCCTCGTCGCACATTCCCCTCATTACATCGTCTCCTCCAACATTGTCATTGTACTGTTCAAACATCTCCGGCGGTGTCTCCCCTTTCAGATGGCTCATCACATTCTGCGCCGTAATAAAATCAATCCACGGTAAATAAATAAACAATATCAAATACAAGAATCGAATCGAATTAAATCAATTATATTCAATTCAATGTTCTAGATAAAATAAAATTGTTTGATCCTTGGATTGAACTTAATCTTTCCATTTTCTCCACAAAAATCCCAAATCCAAAGAGGCCCTTTTTAAGCCATGCATTCAACAACCCCATCAAGAAAAGATGGTCTTTTAATTCCAGGACAACAAAGGAACCTCAAAAATGGACATCATACCAAAAAAATTAGAAAAAACAAAAAAACAAAACATGGCCAATGTGCAATGCAATTATATCCAAAGGAAGAAAGGTGAAGGGCCTAGATTTGACTTAGAGCCTATGCTGAAAATGACCAATCAGCAGCAGCTGCTAAAGGGCCCCCAATCCTCAACTCAAACATAAATTCAATCAAGACAGGAATTTATGTTTTAATTAAAACTTCAATATTCATATATATATATATATATGTATAATGCATTCTTGTGGGTGTGTTTGTTTGGGGTGGATTAAAGTTTCACTGTTCATCTCTTTTTTTTCTTTTTTTTTTTTTTTGCCAAAAATCTCAAATCAAACGCTATTTTTTATTTTTTATATTATACTAAAAATCAATTTTACATTCAAAACATCACATCAACTCCTATTTATGTCACATCATACAACTATTCAAATTCAAAATTTTTACTGTTCAAATCCCAACTCAAAATCTAATCCCCCCAAACAAACAAACGCACCCCTACAATGAAACAAATATACATCACTCTCATCATCAACCCCACCCTCCTCTCTTTGCGTACAACACAAGATAAATAATACTCCATTATGAATTGACACAATTTCCACAGGATAAATAATAATTCATTTGGCTACTTTGAAAATTTATATTTGATTTTGTTTTGTATTTATCATTAAATATTAATTATTATATTAAAAAAAATAACAAAAAGACTTTTATTTTCCTACAAAAATTTATATAAATATAAAAATATTTTGAATATTAAGAATTGACCTAAACCTAAAAGATAAGGACAAATATTGAATACATACACACACTTTCTTACATCATATGCTTCATAGATTTGGTGAAATTGGCTTCCACTATTTTGCTCTCTGCACACGTCTGGATGATACTGCAAAATCCAATTCACATTAATTCATTCAATCAAAACCAGCAATTCCAAGATTATTTAAATAAATAAAATTCATATTCAGATCACCAAATAACAAAGAGGGCAAATCATACTGTTCTTGACTGTTAGAACAACAACCCCTAAAAAAAAAATCCAAAAACTTAAGAAAGAAAGAATGTTACCTTAAGAGCAAGCTTCCTGAATGCCTTCTTAACCTCGGATTCGGATGCTCCAGGATGAATCCTTAAAGTCCTGTAAGAATCAGTGACAGGAGAGGAGGACACACAGGAAACCCTTAACCCCTTTCTCTTAGACTTGCTGCCTCTCCAGCTCGAAGAAGAAGAAGAAGAAGACCCTTTCAATCCAGCACAGGAGCCCGATGCAGACCCACACCCCATACCAGCAGCAGCCATTTAATTTCCCCAATTAAAAAAACAATCGAACTACCTTAATTTCTCCAAACAAAACAAAGCTCTAATAATTTCGAGATTGTCAAATCCCAGAATGCAAGAATAAATAGCTCCCTGTTTCTTAAAAGGACCAGCCGAGCCGAGACGACGAACCCCCCCACGGCAAGAAGAACAATTAATTAACAATGGCGATTTCAGACAAGGGCGGCGATGATCGAATTAAATAACAGAGAAATGGAAATTGCAGAGGAATTCAATAATGGACGCAGTGGGAAAACAGGATGAGGAAACGTTCAATTATAGAGGGGCCTGAGGGTGGGGTGGGGTGGGCTCTGACATGTATGGTGTGGACGCTGACGCCTCATTTGTCCAATTATAATTTTTTATGTTTTTTTAAGGTTAAAGTAAAAAAGGAAGGAGGAGGGTCCTTATCCGAAATGGCTCGGGGGACACGTGTCGAATTCTGACGCGTTGCTGAATTGGCGTATGGACGATCTTATCCGTTCGTTTATTAACTGCTTTGACTAGCGGTCTTTGGAAGTCCCGGGATATTGTGGATTTGATCTTTTTTTAGCCGTTGGTTTAGGGTTGGGTTTGGGATGGATGGTTTAGATTGGGTGGGAGTTGAAGTCCTGGGGTTGGTCAAATTTTGTTGAGGTTAATCCAAGTCAGATCTGGAATTGAATGGTGGTTGTTTTTTGGGTTTTTTCTTTTTTTTTTTGCCTGAGAATCTGCTATCGGATTTTGGAGGGAAATGCTGTAATAACTATTACTCTCTCATATACAGAGTATATCTACGAGCATCTTTTTTTCAAAAAATTTTAAATACAATTTCGAAGTTTCTAGAATATTACCGTGGTATATTTTACTGCATTAATTTTTTTTAAATAACATATGAAGTAATTTGCTTACATTGGGTGTGTTTGTCTTGGGGATTGGATTTCCAATCTACTATTCACCCATTATTTTTCTTCAAAAAATATCACATCAAACACTTATTTTTTTATTTTTTATATTATATTAAAAATCAATTTTACATTCAAAATATCACATTAATACTTATTTATATCACATCATACAACTATTCAAATTCAAAATTTTTACTATTCAAATCTCAACTCAAAATCCAAACCCCAAAACAAACACACCCATATATATTTTCCATTTTGTATTTGAATTTGAATATTTTGAAATAAAACAATTATTTGATACTCCTGAGTTCCGCTCATTTTCCTTCTTTTTGTTGATTCATTAAAGATACTCCGTCGGTCCACAAACTAATGTTTTATTTTTTATTTGGGACGTCTAATAACTATAGTATTATTTTTTCTTAAACACAAATTTTATATTTTTACTCTTTCATTCATTTATTACTTTTAATTTATACCATACAATTATGGGCAAATTTGTCAATTTATAACAAAAAGACAATCACTTAAAAAACCGTGCAAATATATTTTAGGACGGAGGGAGTATATCATTTATTTCTTTTTATATCTTTTTAATAAATAAATATTTTTATTTATATTTAAAAAAAAATTATAAAATTATTTAAGTTAATTATAAATAAGTAAATATATATTTTTATTTATTTTTATTTATATAAAATTTTATTATCTATAAAAATAATATTCTTATTGTATATATTTTATTCAAATAATCTTAAAAATATTTAAAACACCAATAAAACTTTTCATATAAAAAATAATTAAATAATATCATAATTTATTATTAATAATTTACTAACTTACATTATCTAAAATAGCGTATTCCTAACAAAATGGTCCATTCTTGCTGTGTTGGAGGGAGTATTTAAAAAAAAAAAAAACAAATGTATTTATTGTTTTATATTTTTACAGTAAAAAATAAAGCACTGTCTATTTGTTTTTTATTAAATGTAGACAACATTAAATATTGCAAATATTTTTAGATTTATAATTATTTACATTAATATTATTATATTAAATTAAATATAGAGATATGATAGCATATAAAAATGATAATATTAATTAAACTTTACACTAGTGTGTTTGTTTGGGGTTTTGATTTTGAATTGGAATTTGAATAGTAAAAAATTTGAATTTAAATAAATGTATAATATGATATAAATAGGTATTAACAACTTGATGTAATTTTTTAAATATAAAAATAATTTTTAATATAATACAAAAATAAAAATTAGATATTTGATTTGATGTTTTATAAAAAATATAAATTAATGTATAAAAAAAATTAGATAAAGCCCGGCAAACGAACACATCCTAAACGGATATTTATTAGGGTGTATTTGTTTGGAGGTTTGGATTTTGAGTTGGGATTTGAATAGTAAAATTTTGAATTTAAATAGTTGTATGATGTGATATAAAAAGTGTTAATGTGATGTTTTGAATGTAAAATTGATTTTTAGTATAATATAAAAAATGAAAAATAGATGTTTGATTTGATATTTTTTTAGGAGAAAAAATTAGAATGAATAGTGTATTTAAAATCCAATTTCCAAACAAACACACCCTAAGTGAATAGAGAGTAATGTATTGTATAGAAATGTGGCATTTATGTTACTTTTTTTTTCAAAATAAATTGGATAACATACTATAACATAAAATTTATTTGTAATTTATAAAAATTGTAAATTTCTCATTATTTTTTACTTTCTTAGATTCAAAATTCTTGTATGTGAATATATTTTCGTTATTAGTTAATGACTATTGTTCTAGACGGACCTCGACTACAAAAATAATTCAAAAATTTCATAACTATATCACAATTAACTAATGACGAAATGAGTTTAAACAATTCTCATAAATCACAAGTCTGTTTTGTTTTATGTTGTTTTACCAAAAAATTTGAGATTTTGTGTTCCTTTTTTTTTTTTTAATTTAAATAGTAGTTGAATATTATTATTTTTTAAATAAATATGTTTAATCCTAAAGGTTATACTTTATACACTTAAAAAATAAAATTAAATTAAAATCTTAAATGAAATAAATTTTGTAAAAAAGTATATTTTTATTTAAAAGTGAGCATATTCAATAATATATTAAGTAATATTTGAAATACAAACCAAATACTTCCACAAAACTTAAACGACAATTATTTTATTTTATAAAAATATCATATTCAAATATTGTTTCAACCAAAATATAATATTAAAATGTAAAACCAAACACTTGCTTGAATATATTATAAAGTAAAATTACCAAAGAAATTCATTTATAAATATTATTGACTCTCTTCGCCTATAGCTATATATTCGTTAACTTTCTATGGAATATTAGAAAGACATTGATATTTATATGTAGTAGGTTGCAATAAAATACTCCCTCCATCCTACACTGTAGACACGGTATTTTATGAGGGGTGTAATTAGCATATAATTAAGAATGTATTGGTGAAAATAATTATCCTATAATATAAATAATTATAAATTAAGATTAAAATAACTAATTAGTTTAATTAAAATTTAAAAAAAAAATGTAAAAATTTAAAATGAAATTAAAGTGTATAATCATTTTCCGAAAAAAGAAAGTGACATGGTATGTGGGACGGACAGAAACGGCAACGTGGACATGATATCTAAGACGGAGGGAGTATACGAACACAATTTCTTTTACATACAATACACACATATGTTTTAGATTAAAATAATGATAATATAGTAATTTTGGGTGAAAATTATGTTATTCTATTATTTGTACGAGAGTTTGGACATTTACTTTCATGCAACGATTCTCTATAAATATTACTTTAAAAAATATATTTTTTTCGTCTCATATTTATATATTTATTTAATTTTTGTACGGAGTTTTAAAAATATTAATATTATATTGGGATATATTGTATGATATAAAGGTAATGATATTTATGTAATATATTGTAAATTGAAAGAATATTTGTAATGTTAGGTAGATAGCATAATTACTAAAAAAGAAAATTGATACTTTGTTATGGGACGGACCAAAATGAAAAAATGGATAGATTGTCAAGAGACGAAAAGAGTATATATATATACACACATTAACACTACATATATAATATATAATTTTTATTAATTCACAAAAAACTAATAATTCAATCCCAAATATTATAGTTTATATTATCAACATAATTTTTCATACATAATATAAAAAAATTCATTAATTCAGAAAACTCAAAATGAACAAACCCTATCATGTGACATGATGGTTAAATAAGATTGCACATACTCGCCAAGATTAAACACTTGTTTAGACAGAGGATTTTTTGAAGTTTTTGAAATTTTAGAAGTTTGGGAAAAAGTAAAAAATTAGTATTTGACTTGATGCTTTTATGAGAGAAAAAATATATTTCATCCCGCAAAAGATGGAGTCTTTTGTTGGAGACACGGTATTTTATGTAGTATAGGTTATTAAGTTATTAATAATATGTTAAGATAATATATAATTATTTTTTATATGTGTAGTGTTGTTGATTTTTTTTTATATGTTTACAATTATCTCAATAAAATATATGCAATATGAATATTATTTTGTAAAGAATAAAATTTTATATAATACAGATAAATAAAAAAATATATTTATTTATTTATCATTACCATAAATTAGATTTATAAAAATGAGGAGTTTTAAAGGAAAAATATTTGTTAATTGAGGAGAGAGATAAAAATAAAGGAGTTTTGAGTATGTCCTACGTGTAAGGTGTTACAAGTTCAATTAAATTGATTTATATTTGTTAAGTATACTAAAAATGAAAATGGATCATTTTTTGTGAGACGTACCGAAAAGGAAATGAAATCATCTGTGACGGGACGGAGAAAGTATTTGATATGATATTTTTTAAAAGATAAATAGTGTCAAATGAGTAAAAATGTATCGTGTAAACGAAGTAATCTCTAACCTAAAAAAATGTTACTTCTATAAGAATACATCTAATCATGACAATTATTTCAATTCTTAATCCCAAAGCAAATGCTAATATAAATAAATACCCTATAACCTTAGGAGGACTTATTTATTTAATTTAATTGTTACATACTCACTTAAAACTTGTTCAAAGTCAACTAAAGATTCAATGAAACTACAGTCATAAAATCAAACTAATGTGGGGTGGATTCTCTCTTAACAAAAAAAAAAAAAAAAAAAAACGTAATTAAATTTCTTTTATTTTTTATATTTTTAATAATTATTATTTTTTATTTAACATATTGTATTAAATATATATTTATATTATATCAAATATCTATTTTTATTTTTATTTTTATTTTTTTTATTCTTAACCCTAAACTCCACTTCAAGTTTTATGTTCAAACACACCCTATAATTTGGTTTTGTGCCTTCATTTTATAAAAATGTAGGTTTTTTGGCTCACACTTGTATTTTGTTCATATTTAAAATACATAATATCTTTTGACATCGTATAAAAATAATTTTAATTCAAAATTTTTATTATTTCGAATCCCAAATTAACTTCTAACGTGTTTCTTTTCTGTTTGCATTGTGTTTAAAATTTTGAATTTTTTAATTAAAATAATGTTTGACATTTTATGATAGAAAAATATATTTTTTGAAAAATGAGAAATCTATACAATAAAAAATGAAAAAGAAATTCAAAAGAAGCGTTGATGTAATTGTTTTCAATGATCAAATTTGGCTGATTATGATTTGAGTCTCAAACTACTATTATGCTATGCACGATTTTTAATAAATCATTTACTTTTGTAAAAAAGTATATTAAAATATTTTCTCAATCTATCTAAGAATATGTACATATTTCTATTTTGGAACTTTAAAGTAACAGTTTCATTAAATACTCTTTTTTTTTTTTTCATAAATATCCTTATACAAAAAAAATAAAGGCAAAAATATCATACACTACTTCTAACTATTCACTATTATTAAAATATTATTATTTTTTAAACTCCGCATCAAAAATAAATATTTACTTTATAACCGAACAAAAAGAAAATTAAAATTAAAATCAACACTTTATTTTAAATATTTAAAACCACAAACAAACAAATTATATTGTACAAAAATAAGATTAAAAAAAAAAACAGATAGTTGAATTATATTTTTATTTTAAAATGAGATAGCAAAAAAATATAATAAGATATTACACTACAAGAAAAAATCATTTTTGTAACAAAATTTTTTTGTCTCTAAATCTATTTTTTCCGTTATTAATGACATTAGAGACAGAATTAGGAACGGAATTACGTTAGCTACGTGAACTTTAGGGACGAAATTCCGTTACAAATATATTATTTTTTTTTTGTAGTGTTATTGGGATTTCACTTAGCAATAGGCAAGTAGATTTTTCTGATAATTTTTTAAACCTACCACAAGGGACGAAATCAGCCATAAAATTTTTGCTAGAATTCAAACCAATATCAAATTTATTTTTTGTTTCAAATAAAAGGTATTACTATTTACTTTTTGTACTATTTTTTTTATAAAACTATAGTATTATTTTTTGTTATAAAATATTATTTCAACCAAACTTAAAATAAAAATTCAAACCAAAACCAAAACTAAACAAATCCCGTATATATAAATATTTTTTAAAGAGTTTTTTACTTTTTTTTAAAAATTAAAAATATTCTGAAAACAATGTAAAGTTTTAATTATAATAAGATGTTTACTTTATATTTATTATTATTATTATTATTTAATTTCTTAGATTCTATTTTGGACGAGCCCTTGTTTATTTTTATATCTATCCGAATGGAATAGGTTTCGAGTAAGGTCAAACATCCCCATCCCCATTTCCTGCTCTAAATTACTCCCTTAATTTCATCTATCATGTTCATATTGCTATTTCTGTTTCTATCACTTTTTTTTTTGAGAAAATAATTATACATTTTAATTTATTTTAATTTTAATTAAACTAATTAATTATCTCAGAATCATTATTTTTACTAATATATTTTTAATTATCTACTAATTAACCCAGACATCAATCAATGTGGGACGGAAGGAGTATCTATATGTATATGTGTATATATATATATAAATGATTAGTTGAGAAAATATAATAAAAGGAAAGGAAAGGGATGGGATGGATGAAGATTGAAACCATCAAAATGTAGAATAGGATGAGATTCGAGGATAATCCTTTTTCATTCTATATTCGAAATAGTATTAATTAATTAATTATTACTATTACGTGTACATGCTTTGTCTGAATCTGAATGAGGTGACGTGACGTAAGGTATGGTGGTCTCCAATCCATCAAAACAACCTAACCTATTTATTTTCAGACAATATTAATAACATTCTATTCTCTTCTGTCCAAACATTGCATTGCATTGCCATTACGCCCGGATATTATTATTATTATTATTATGGAATAAAACTCAAATTCAATAAGATCATGGCAACCAAAAGTTCACCAATAATAAAAACGCATATCCTTAGGCCATTCCTAAATTGAACAATTCCTAAATTCCACCAGATCATTCCCAAGAATTTACGGGAATGCAATATTGACAAGTTCCTATATCAATATAAGATATATTATGATATTTTACTTTCTTACTTTTTAGAAGTCATCAAAATGTCAAGATCAAGCTCAAACTCAACAAGTTAAACCTAGAGGGGAAAATATCTGCTACATGGATTTGACAATCATACATTGCAGCAAAAGCCTATGCTTAGACAACAAAGCTTACTCAATTATTCATTCAACTCGATAATAAAAGTCATTCGGGATTAATTCATCTTCAAACTTTTTTTTTTTTTTTTAATGCAAGTGTCATAACTAGCCAGCCAGCCAACAAAGGCATATAATATTCCTAAAAGAAACTAATAATCCAATTATGATTTGGCAGCGAAAGTGAATAGAACTCAATGACTAGCAAGTAGTTGAAAAATGTGTTACCGCAAAGTGCTTGCAATTACGCTCTGTTCAATTTGTCTCGCTCTACTTTACTGAGGACTCAGGCTGCTGTTTCGAGGATGGTTGTTTCTTGAATTGCACCAAGATCATTGTCATATTATCACAGCCTTCCTGTCCGGATGTTGGGGCCAAACACTTGTCTAGTACTCTTTCACAAACCACAGATAGCTTCTTTTCCTGCATAGATTTCTCGATTTTTAGGATTTACCATCGTATTACGCCACAACAGTTTATAGCAGCAGAACTTACAGTTTTTAACTGCTCCCGAACAAAACTGATAGCTTCTTGACTTGTCATGCAATCCCTACCCAAGAAAAAACAAAAAATGTATAAACAGCTTTGTTACAAAAATATGAACATTTCTGTATTTCTATAATAGTACTTTTAAAATGCTGCTTAGATTTAGCAAATGTTCTCTACTCAATTCTACCTTATTCTCGCACATTATAAGAATCTTACAGAATATTTTAGGGAAAGCTAGATGTACTAGAAATTGCTAGGATGTGGAAACTCCAATTATAGATAGGATCTTCACCCTAATTTGTAAAACATCAAGCATAATCAATCCATCACGCCGGAATACAAGTTTGCTAAGTTCTCCCTTATGTGTGCCCTCGTGTTCGCTTGCACTTCAATCCTCTGTGTTAAGTACTTCTAACTACATTTGTTAGGAGGTTTGATCTCGCATCAACAAAATATGTTGGAAAGAACCTTTGCAATGGTGCTCTGTTTGGGTTTCTAATTGGTGAAGAACATGGAGTGGAACTGTAAGTGAGAACTAAAGCAAAAAAGTACAACCATTTGAATCAACAATACTTTGTGAAAAACCCTCGTCAAAATCATATAACAAATCAGTGTCAAATTGTATATTTCATGAAACGAGCAATAAATTGATTGCAAGTATCATGACCAAACAAAGGGAGAAAACGATTCTTAGTTAAAAGGTTATTGGTTTTTTTTGATATCTGAATCTGGAATTCTAACAAGATAATTAAGCTTTCACTAATAGAAAGAAAATTTCGTCAGAGCTATTGCAAGCACACAAGCATGGACTTATAACAATCTGTGTGCATATTGAATGCAAACGACACTTCAAACTTGCCCATATTAACTTATCTTTCATTTAAGTCGGAGCTTCTTTAACTTTTAATCAGAATAGAAAGAGACTTTAAACCTGCAGGTTCAGCCACATAACTTACCATATCCCATCACAGGCTATAATAATAAACTCATCATCTTCTTCTAGTTCAACCTAGTACGAAAGAGACAAGACAAAACAGATAAATGGTCAATTTCAGAGAACAATAGCTTCGAAACAAAAAAATAAAAATAAAGTGATGTTGCTTCTGTTTGACAATTTCAAAGATAGAGCTAGGGCAGGCAAAGGTATGAATGCAGCACTTTATGAGACTGTGAAGTTAAACTTTCTTTGCACAGTAAATATGGAGAGGAGATAGTACGATCCAATAAAAAATCAAGAGATAATGTTCCACATACAGTGACTATGTCAGGGTTTGCAGTCACAATTTGCTTCTCAGCTGGCAACGACTTATTTTGCTTCAGTTCCATATCACCTGAAGATATTGGAACCATGCTGAGGAAGATAATTTAGCAATACCTCAAAAATTAACAAATAGGTTGAATCGAGATACCTATCGCTCGTGCCAGGTTCAAACTGCCATTCACCCTTCCATATTGTACATACCCACCAGCTTCAAGTATCCTTTTTTTCTCGACTGCAAGTTCTGGTTTGTGGTCCTTGGATAATTCATGTGCCTGCATAAAAGCTCTAACTTTCAAGAACTTTGTTCACATGCTGACAAGGAGAAATTGCAAAAATATTTTGTGATTCCTCCCCGAGTACAAACAGTCAAAAATGACTCATTGAAAATGAACTTCACCTTTCCATTTCGGGACATGACACACCGAGAGTCACCAGCATTTGCAACAAGCAACGAATTATTTCGAATGATAGCAACACAAGCGGTACTTCCAGCACTTGGGCCTTTGTAATCAGAATGAGTTCCCTACATTTTAGAAGATGTGTGACTTAACGATGTGCATGCATTGAACGCAATCTACAAAAATCAAAAGATCTAAATCAACTATCTTGCTCAGTTCAGATTATATGCATTGCAGAGCGAAAAGAATAGTATATAAGGAAGATGGCAGCTGTCATAATGCGGAGGTGAAAGAAGAAACAGGAGGAAACAAATGAGAGAATTGAGTATAATCTAGGAAGAAAGAAACTTAATTATTGAGGAAGCTTCATTCTCATCTAATCTAATCTAATCAACAGAATTAACTTACTGATATTTTCTTTTCTGTAATATATCAGTGAAAACAATTATTACCATGAAGTTCACAAGTAGCTCAAAGAAACCAGGTATTTATCGTAATCAATTTAGTTAACATGTTGGTTAACCACTTACTGAAGGCCAACAGGCCTGCAACATCAAATACTTATTACTATTGACATTGGGAAACACAGTTAAGGACATAACTAATATTCAAAATGGAAATTTTAATCCAAGTCATAGATAATTTCATCCAAAATAAGCAAACAATGACAGAATTGGCTTTTTGTAATATTCCCAGCTCCTATATATTGGAAATCTATATATTCATCATCAGCACTTTTCAAAGTGCAACAGACCAAAATCTCATTCCAAAGTTGTTTTAGGATGACATTTTCTCAATTTTTTGCATAGACTCGTAGTTATGAACTTATCATTGGAAAGAGAAAAATGCTACAATATCGCAAAATTTCAACATATCTAAGGTCATATTCTAAGAAGTGGAGGAATAGTGCATGCGCAATATGATTCATTGCAGAAGCTATTAGAGTCAATTCTGCTTTATTTCGTTCTTGTCATCATGGGTCGGGGACTGTAGGGGCCCAGAGTACCAAATTAAGGATGTGTTTGTTTGGGGGATTGGATTTACTTTCCACTATTCATCCCATTTTTTCCCCCCAAAACATCGAATCAAACACCTATTTTTTATTTTTTATATTATATTAAAAACCAATTTTACATTCAAAACATCACATCAACACCTATTTATATCACATCATATAACTATTTAAATTCAAAATTTTTACTATTCAAATCCCAACTCAAAATCCAAACTCTCAAACAAACACACCCTAAAAGAATCTCTGTTACAGAACCGTACATGAGATTTTCATTTCATATGGCTCCTCCCTTATGTACATAAGGAATCATGTCCGAAGTTCAGTATAATATGGAGTTGTTTTGCTAAAATATTTGAACCATGCCATTGTCCCCATATTAACTTGTTCTGTTAAGTCAAGTTTACAAACCTCTTCAGAAGGCCACTGCAGCATCAGTTCATTGTGTTCATCTGTCCCGAGAGCATTCTGTGCATCACTACTAGACTGGTCCATTTTGCCCTTCAATAATGCCAACTCCTTTTGTCCATTCTTTCCACACATCATTTCATCCATTCTGGATCAAATAACACAACATTAGAAACATGTTAGCACAAGCATCACAATCAAAACTCAAAGTTGACATACTATTTTAAGCTTCTCCAAAAAGAACAATGCTGCTTGAGTAGAAGGGGTTGATTCAACCATCACATTGGGCATTTTCTTCTGTCTATATATGACAAATGGGACAGATTCTTATTGATGGCACTGTTCTAGGTGAGAAGCACAGCAGTTAAAAAGCGATGAAAAAGGTGACAAAATATTGAAAGTAGTTTACTTATTACACAATTACTGGGTGCTAACAATGATAATAACCATAATACAAGGCCCGGGCAGATAAGAACTATAAGGATGGGTAAACATCAATACCATATAAGTAAATCTTAGAAAGGTCTGAAGAACCTTAGAAAAGCCTTTTTAACTGAAGTTTCCAGATCACTAGCTGCTTCAAGCTCCCGGACCTGACGATGAAGAAATTTTGCACAAAATCTGGAGACTTCTTTGCCTGCAAAGTGAGATGACCCACCCAATTGCCAATTGATTATTATAAAAAAAAAAAAAAAAAAAAAAAAAAAAAAGAAGAAAACAAGCAAAACGAAGAATATCATAAACTTGAGCAGAAAATTGTGTCTTCATTACAAGTTTGCATGCCCCAAATTCATCCTCATGGTCAAATTTAAAAGTATTTCTAATATCTATTAAAACTCCTTAAAAATACCAGTATTTCCAAAGAATTTAATGGATTAGGATCACTGCGTGGAAATTAAAACCACAACTGAAACGTACAAGGCATATACTAAAGATTTTAGTAAACTTGAGATGTGATCATATCAGATCTGTGTTTACCCCCGTGGCCATCATAAACTCCGAAGAATGAAGTGGATTGATCCATATTAGTGAAAGCAGCATGCTGTGGAATAACAAAAAATGTAAAAGGACGGGCATAAGACCAAATAACTTAATAACAGAGGTTAAGAAACATAGTTTAACAAAAAGCCTTCCTTTGTAGCAGAAAGTAGTAAGCCTTTTTCCTAATATATATAACAGCAAAGGTGTTAACCAACTGACAAAGGCAAATAACATATATTAATAGCACATAAATCCAATGTACAATCTTCCAAAATGATCTTCTAAACTCTAATATTTTTCTAACCCGTGTTTTGAGATTTTTGCATCATTGGAAAGAACAAACAGAAGCTTGAGCCATAACATATTGATACATTTGGATAATTCAGGATCTTATTATATTATCATATAAATGTCCACATCCTGAGCTCTTACATTTCTATAATTATCAGTATTCTGAACTTCTGCCATTTATGACTCTCTCTCTCTCTCTTCTTCTTCTTCCTCTTCTTCTTATTTCTACTTTATTTTATTGTATTTATTTTTCATCTAAAGAATATTGCAGGTTACACAACTAGAATGCAACCATTTTCGGACTTGCCAAAAATTCTGCATTGCTTTATCCACCATTCCATCTTACACAGCATTATCAAATCATACTTTTTATGTCAAATGGATGTGAGCTTTCTAGTTTGATTTAAAGATACTTTCACACGAAAGAGAGAAGTGGAACAAGATGAAAAAGAGAATTATTAATTTAGTACCCAAAAATAAAATAAAATAGAAATTTGTTAGCTTGTGAATAGCATTTATTCTCTGGCAAAGAAATGATTAGCTCCCACAGATGACGAGGGGGTGTAACAATGAACATATCAAAGAACTATATTTAATAATGCTAGTGAAAGGAAGGTTCCATATGCAGTAAAATACATAGCATGTTTGGTATCATTGTGGGTGCGCAGATGAAAAGAAAACCATAGCAAGCTAGTTATCACTCCTCATAGTCATCAAAATGCAAATATGGATTAATTGTTCCATGCAGACATGACAAGGTGAAATACAATATATCTGAATAGGAAAATCACTTACAGCGTCTTCCATTGTTGATCTCCATCCCTGCATGGATGACAGACCATATCTAAGCCTGTCATTCTCACCATCCTCTGAGACCTTATCAGTCTTGGGAGTGCTTAGATAAACTCCCATATTAAACTGCAAGAACAATTATACATGCTCATGTCCATCACATATCTAACATTCAGATTGATGGGATGAAATCATGCAGTATATCTATACAAACAATTAGCCCATTGTGAGCCATGAGTAACTTCAGTTATGGTGGAAATAAATTCTTCGTAGTATCTTTTCATGATTCATCAGGAATTAAGCTACAAAATGAATCAAGAAAGAAAGGAAAAAAAAAAAAAAAACATATTCGCTATTGTTGAAGTCATGTATTAACACAGAATTCTATGCAGAAAGCTTCAAAATAAATTAAAATTATCCTGGACTACTAAGTGATTCGCTCAAACTTCTTTCCCATTTTATAATCATTTAGTATTGTGACTTTCTCCACTGGTAGAACTTAAGAGTACCTTAAATTAATAAGTGTGTTTCCGTGTACATGTACAACTTTTGATGAATCAATTATATCAAGTAAAAATTCAAAACCTTTTCTGAAAAACTGAATTTTATGACAATGGCTGCCTGGCATAAGGGGATGCCATGCTATATATCTTCTAGTGCAATGCCACATAACATGCGCCATCATGTCTGTAACATTGAAGCTTGGTCTAAATGGTACGACAAGTATATATTTATCCTTCTAATACTTTTCAAACAATGCAGTCAAAACCATGTTGTTCATAGTGTAGTTCTTTTTAAAAAAATATATATGTTTTGATACTATATAATCCTTACGCTCCCAGAAAAATATACTATTCTCTCTCACAAAACATCAAATCAAAACACTATGCAACACAAAACATAAACATAAACCAAAAGTTTCATATTTTATTCTTGTTATAGTTTTATTCTGTATCTCAGTTGTATCTGGTCATTAACACTAGGATTGTGTGTTTATAAACAATACCATAATAACAGGGATCTGTCTACCTATATTTAGCACATATCTGCTGAAATTGCCAGCAGGCTCATGCATATATAGGTTCAATAACCTCATACTGATATAAGATATATATACATATATTTATATATTTTCCCTCTACATTTGAAGTGGCATCAGAGCTCCGAGCTTGGGGAGCCTCTGGCCATGCGTGCAAACCCTAAGTCACAGCCTTCATTGCTGTCTGTGGCCCTTGAGCTATATTGAGCCATCAGTACTATGCAATCCACTCTACCTTGATCAAATCAACCTGTTATGGCTGAGGTTGAGAAACCTATTGTAGAGACTGGGGATTGATCCCAGGCCACTTGAGAACCTATCGCTTAAATGGAAAGAATTACCTCAAATGGTCTTAATTTACTAGGATCATCTTGAAAAGAAAAGGAAATGTTGGTGAAAAGATGCCCCTAATGAAAAAGGTGCCAAGTTCAAATCATGGGATGAATAAAAATCCCATGATCATGATGTGGCTGTGGAATTCAATGGTTCCAGAAATCAGTGATATCTGCATATTCCTTTAATCAACAAAGGCAAATTGGGAGGCAGTAGAACAAGCCCATACTAAGGCCAAGGATGCTGCCCAAATCAATGATGTAAAAGTGAAAATAGAGGTTGCCGAATAGGGGGACAAATCAGTTACAGAATATGCCAATAAATTGAAGTTCCTATGGATGGAATTGGCAATTCTTAAGGAGTATATTGCACAAGGGAATATACGATTTAATGGTAGGCCTGATTCCTTAATATGATCAGGTCCAAATCCATATTCTGGGAAACGAAAGTACCAGGCTTAATGAAGTGGTAGTTAAGGCTTGAAGCTGGAGACCCCAACTACTAAAAGCTCAGCAATGATGGCTGAAGGAAGAAAAACAGGAGCGTATTGCAATGTGTCTTGAAAAAGACATTTTTATCTTTTTCTGTAATCCAATCATGAGTTTCAGAAAAATAAAAAATAAATAAAATACAACAACAACAACAACATTAATCACAAGTTCTAATTCCATAAAAACCATAGCCTTTCACAAACAGTCAAACACAAACACAAACACACATATCATTCCGGTACTAGTTAGAATTCCCCTGTTGCATATACCACAATATAATATACAGAGAACAGAGAAAACCATAAGAAGAAGAATGCGAGCCAAAGCAGGAAAAAACAAAATGGATCGCGAACTGACATAAGAGATCATAAAAGCGATTAGGATAATACGACAAAATCAAAAGGCGTTGCAAACATATATACATGAAACAACATTTTTAGGTGCTTTTCATATTTACGATTGATTACCAGTGTAGAAAAAACGGGAAAAGACGAATGGCAGGAAAAGCAGTCCCTGCAATCAGTTCGAGTGGTGATCTCAAAGGAATGAATGATTCTGCTGGTACCCGACCGCTCTTTCTAGAATTTATTTTTCCTTCAACAATGGAAGTTGAGGTTTCACGCTTTTACTTATCCAAAAACACGACTTTAGTTCAAATTGTAGAATAATGCAGAGACGGAGCCCACCTATTAAATGAATATTCTGGCCCCAAATTAAGCTTGGCCCAAATTTTATTTATAAGATATATATATATAATATTATATTAATATATATATATATATATTTCGGCAAACTGCCGCGCCGCGCCTCCCTGGTGTCGTTCGGCGGGGAGGCTGAAGAAGGATGAAATACGGCCGCCGGAGTGCTCTATTTGAAGGATTTTTGTTGGATGGCGTGGTGGATGATTTTCAGACGTTTTTGCATCGACGTTGAAGATCAGCTGTGGACTGAGGACTTCGACGTCTTCTGGTTTGGCGTTTCCGGTGAGTGCAAATCAAGTGCTAAATTTGTGCTTGTTGTTTTGTTATTCATCTTATGCAGTAGATGCTGGAATTTCATACGTATATATATGTTGAGTTTGTTATGTGGGGACGGAATAAACCTATTAGTAGCAATCTGGACGCATATGGAACATATGGAGATTTTCAGGAAACTGCTGTGTGAAATTTGAGAAGCATTTCTGCTATGACATGAATTTGAAATCAAGGATGTCAATTAAGATATGTTCTAAGAAGGAACATGAAATCAAAGTTTTTGTATGTTTTTCATATTGAGCAATTTCAATAGATTTAGAGATAGGCTTGAAATCGAAAGCTGTTTAGTAACACTATTATACAGCAATCAGATGAATGCAGAACTACCAGAATGCATGTATATACACACTCCTGTTATCATATTAACAATCACTGAAAGTTGAAGATGATATTCCAAGAGAAGATGAAAATGTTGCTGTAGTATCTCCATCCAAGTACCTCTTGAGGCGATCCAAGTCGTCAGCACAATCGAGCATTGTTGGCCGCATTCCTGGGGACTCCAGTGTGCACACAATCCCCAGTTCAATCAATTCTCCAATGGCCACTTCCCACATTTTCCTTACCTCAGGCGATAGATCCTTTAATGCTCTAACCAGTGATGCATCTACAACATTTTCCATTTGCCTGTGATAATGATTCTTGACATACTTGTGCAGGTTTAGCCCTTCTCTGAACATCTCTTCCGTCGGCCTTTTTCTGGTGACAATCTCCAGGACCAACACTCCGAAGCTGTAAACATCTCCCTTTGTCGATGTACTCAACCCAAACCCGTATTCTTAGAGATGGAAAGGAAACGAAGACCATGATAAGCAAAAATGCAGTCTTGATTAATCCAGGGAGTAATGGGATTGGATAGTTGAGTAGTCGTACCTGGTGCAATATAACCAACGGATCCGCATAATATATTGGACGTGGAGTTGCTTATATTTGTAAGCCCCCCACCGTTTCCTGCTTCAATGGTCATAACTAGCCTTGCGATCCCAAAGTCCGATACTAAAGCTGTCATATCATCATTGAGTAGAATGTTGCTCGGCTTCAGGTCACAGTGTATGACTTTTACAGGGGAATGGTGGTGCAGATAAGCCATACCTTCGGCAATGTCACTGCAAATGTTTACCCTTTGAACTAGATTTAGGTCGGAAGACCCTGATCGCAGATCATTTTCTACGTGGGGATACAGTCGGGCATCTAGGCTTCCATTAGCCATATATGGCAAAACCAGGGCTTTGAACTCCGGCAAGCTACATGCTGTGATGATTCTTATAAGATTCCGGTGGCGTATTCGCTTCAACACTTGACATTCTCTGTTGAAACTCTTGGTGGAATTTCCTGTTTGCAGAGTTAGTACCTTCACAGCTATTTGTGTTCCATCTGGAAGAGATCCTCTGTACACACGGCCGTAGCTGCCTGATCCAACAAGCCTGTGGTCATCAAATCCTTCTGTGGCTTCTAACAGCTCTTTATAGGTGATTCTAGGAAAATTTTGTGTCAAATGAGGTGGCTGCTTCCTCTCTTTCCTTGATTTTCTGGATAAAATGATCACTCTTAGGCGCTGGCATCCAATCACACAACAGATAGTTGAGATGAAGCCTGATATGAATATGACAATGCAGAATATGATCAGGAAAAGACGGGAACGAAAATAGGGTCGTTTGTGGCTGCAGTTTGGTATCCCCAGGTAGATAGGGGTAGAGGTACAAAGACGTGAATTGTTCAAGAAAGATGAACTTGTGAGGTTCTGAAAAATTCCTCCAGTGGGAATCTCTCCAGAAAAATCATTGTCTGAAAAATCCAGGAACCTCAGGGTGCTGCTTCTATTCAAGCTTGATGGGATCTGTCCCCACAATCTGTTATGTGAAACGTCAAATGCAACAATACTTCTGAGATCACCTATGGTATCTGGAAGTTTTCCATCGATGGAGTTATTAGAGAAGTTTATCAGCTTGGCGGCGTAGCAGCTTGAAATCATGCTGAAGACATTTCCTACAAAGTTGTTCGATGACAGGTCAATCTCTTCAACACTTGACAGCTTACTCAGTTCAATTGGCAGTAGTCCTCCTAGCTGATTGTGTGAAAGATTAAGAGACATTCTCATTTCATGCCATCCGGTTATTGTCGAAGGCACCTTTCCCGTCAGTCTGTTGTAAGAAAGATCCAGAGTTTGCAGGGAAATACAATTGCCTATGCTGGCAGGAATGTTCCCTGACAGAAGATTGTTGTTGAGGAACAAAAAGGTTATTCTTCTGAGATCTCCCAACTCTTGAGGAATCTCTCCAGACAAGCTGTTGTGCGACAAATCCATTAATCCGATGCTCGATAGATTTCCCAAAGCAGCAGGCATTCCAGTAAAGAAATTGTGTGACAGGGAAAGCTGTTCCAATAAAGACAATTTACCAATTTCTGCTGGAATACTTCCATTCAAACAGTTGGAAGTCAGATTCAGGAGGCTCAAGTACAACATATTTCCGATTTCAGGGGGAATCGACCCGCATATCTGATTTTCCTGAAACTGAAAAGTCAGCAGAGAGTTTCCGAGCACTCCAATGGAACTGGGAAAACTCCCTCCAAGTCCCAGCCCAGCCATCTCCAGCTCCTCCAATGCACTGCAGTTTTCCAGGGCCGTAAAAAATGGCGCAAGATTAGTGTTATCGTCGTGGCTAACCATATGGTTATCCGATAAGTGAAGAAACAACAGGTCGGGAAACTTTGCAAGCATTTCTGATGGCAGTTCGCCGGTAATATCGTTGTTCTCTAAATCCAAGTTATGCATACCTGAGGCATTGCCCAATGAACCTGGAATTCCTCCAACTAACCTATTGCTGAACAAGTTGAGATTCCACAGTTCAGGACAGTTTCCGATCTCTGCCGGGATCCTCCCCGTCAATTCATTCTGCGACAAATCCACATTCTTCAGGCGCGTGCAGTTCCCGAACAGGCCTGGCGGTATCGTGCCATTGAGCATGTTTGCATTCAGGAAAATCAACCGCAGCTCGAAGAGCAACGACAGGGACCCTGGAATCTCCCCCTGCAGATTATTGTTGCTGAGTTTGAGCTCCCTGAGGTTCGCCAGCAACGAAAGCTCGGCAGGAATGGTGCCAAAGAAACGGTTGTCGACAAGCTTCAGGTAACGGAGCTGCGTGAGATTGGAGAGCACGGGAGACAGCACTCCGGCGAGGCCAGAGCCGTTGAGATTCACCATCACCACACGGTGGCGCCTGACGCCGCACGTCACTCCGGTGAAGTTGCAGACAGCAGTTCCCTCATTCCAATTGGCAAGAACCGAATCAGGGTCCAATACAATAGCCTTCCGGAAGGCGAGGAGCGCCTGCTTGTCACTGCGGATGGTGTGCCGGGGATGTCGATGATGGCCGCGAGCCGACACCGGAGGAGCGGAATGCAGTGTGATGAGTATGAGGATCTTGAAGAAGAACATTCTGTAGTGAGCTCCACAGTTGTTGCATGGAGGCTTGAAGGAGGGCTATGTGAGAATCGAATTGAGGTAAGCTGCCATAGGTAGGGAGGTGTTGGTTCAATGGAGGTATGATTTCTTTAAGGAATTAATGATTCCCCAAGTTGGATATTATTATTGCTGTTTATGTCTGAGTGGACAATCAACTGACTTTATTTATTTATTTTTTTTTTTTGAAGTTATTGGGAGGCACAGAAATTGCAGGTGGTGGTTGCCATGGAATTGGGATTTGGAAGTGATCACTATTCGAGTGATGCAACAAATTGGCTCAGAGTGGGAATCCAGTAATGGTACGATATTATTTTATGTGTTTCTGTTTGTGTGAGTTTTATATAATGGTATTTGACTTGAGAAGAGCCTCAGAATTTATGTCAAATACAGATTTTGATGGTGTCACTATTTAAATTTATGACATCATTTTTCTAGTTTCTTGTTTTTAAAATCTTTATATGGGAGATGCCCTAAGTTCGAGAATTCGGTTCGTGTGAGTTAAATTATAAATATAAATTTTAGATGTTATGTTTATATTCTCTCTATTCATCAAAAGTGTGATCACTTCTCACGTGAATTAATCTCTCTATCCCACATAATTTATTCTTATTTTATATTTTCGTCTGTCCACGTAATTTGTCATTTCTTTTTTTTAAAAATTTGATTATCTATTTTAATTACATTTTAAATTTTAAATTTTAAATTTTGTAATTTTTTTAATCTTAATTAAACTATTTACTGTTTTTAATCTTAATCTATAATTATTTTTATTAAATAATAATTATTTTTACTAATATATTTCTTAATTATTTACTAATTATATTTTACTAAATTCACTGAGGGAGTAGAAAGGAAGTAAACACATTTTTGGTGAATAGATATAGTAATTCATAAGGAGATAAATGGTTCCCTTAGGCCATCCACATCAAAGAAACTCTTTTATTTCACAATCTCTTTCTTCCACCTTATTATATATTTTTTAATTTATATCAAAATAATTAATAATATTATTAAATTTAAATAAAATTATATCAATATATATTATTTTGTAGAGAATAAAATTTTATATAATACAAAAATATAAAAAAATAAAAATAAATAACTAAATAAATAATATTTTAGAAAAAAAATAAAGATTTTGTCCAAAAAAAATTTTTAAATATATATTTGATACTATAATATTTTAAAACTTTTTGTTGGTATCATATTTTAAATAAAATAATATAGATATATTGTATTTTAGGAAATTATGAATAATATGAAAATAAAAAAATAAAAAAATTACATTTTCTATTCAAACGATTTGTTTACTTAGAATTTGGTTGTGCGTTTTGATTTAGAATTTTTAGGTTTAATAGTAATTTGAATATGATATTTTGTGAAAGTAAATTAGATATTTATATAAAAATTAAATCAAATTTATGTTTATCTGGTAGATGGTTGTATGTAGAAATAAATATTACTTTCTCCGTCCCATAAGTAAATATCTATTTGTTTTTTGCACGTAGTTTTAAAAATATTAGTATTATATTGGGATATAGTATAAATAAAGTAGAAATGACTAAAATAACTTTATTAGTATGTGTGATGTAAAAGTAATGACATTTGTGTAATATATTATAAGTTGTAAGGGTATTTGTAACGTTAGATAGTACAGTTACTTTAAAAAAAAAATGAATACTTTTGTATGAGACGGAGAAAGTATAGAACTTGTAACGTTATGCGAATGGTTTGAACTTAATAGGAATGATAAGAACCACATTTTGCTTGTGATGGGTGGGATCCAAGAGTTCTAAAGCAAAATAAATAAATAAAAATAAAAATAAAAATTATTTGGATTTAATCCATGTTGGTAGAAAAAATTATCATAATATCATTTTTTTTCCCTCTATTATGGGTAAAGATTTGACGTACAGAAAATCTTTCGGATTGAAATGCTTCATAGATTTCTCATTGTGAATAATTTTCTTGCCTATAATACTATTTTTTGGTGGCATCGAATCTTCAAATTTAGCTTGAGCTTAAAAAATTATATAAAGTAAAGCGTGACATACGATATTTTATTGGACGCGTCAATTTGTTATTAATAAAATTTGAACTTTCAAAATGATTATCCTCTAATTTTGGCATTGCATGTTATGATTCAGATTTGCTAAGAAGGCCCAATGTTATGGTTAAAATGAAAGGTTTCAAAAGGAATATTAACACATAAAATTTGGAACAAAGTCGGAGTTAAAAGTTGAAAATATCAAAATAAACATAAAGAAATTAAAAGATAAATTGTAAAAGAACAACACGAGATATGATAAGTTACGTAAGTTAGAAAAGCAAAAAATAGAAGAAATAAAATAAAAATAAGTTTGATCTTTCAATAACTTTTTTTTTATACAAATTTCAATATATAATATATATTATTATCTTAAAAAAAATTAATATAAAATATTCTTTTCTCATAAGAAGGGTGTCATTTGGTTTATGTATTATTATATTTGACAATAAAAATATTTTTATATTTGTATAATTTATTCCCCAAATTTCACGCAGCAAAAAGTAAATAACAACTTTCTTACAAGACAGGTGGAGTATTATTTTTATATTTATTACACAATTCTTATATTTTACATTAAAAAAATAAAAAAAATAAAAAAATTCTCAAATCAACACACTAAGAAAAAGTAAAAAGTTAAATAAAGTGCAAGATTTTGGAGTGGTGTTAGCTTCTTTTCTTCCAAATCCAATTAAACCCTTTTTCAACCATCCTTTATTGTAGTTACTTCTTATTTCCTTGCAACTCGTGGGAGTTACAAAATTAAATGGAAGTCATTCATTTTTATTTTTATTTTTTAATTATTTTTTATCGTATGGTTAGCTGTGGTGGGCCACACTTTCATGTATTTTATTTATTTATTTATTTTGTCAAATAGAAATTGAATAGTAAAAATATGAGTAAAAAAGAACAAATTAAAGAAATCTTATTCTTTTGTTATACATGATTCTCGCATAGTGTAATTTGGGTTATCGAACCTAGTTTACAGACTATTAAATTTGATCGGAGATTTACCTAAAACGTATTGAAGAGTAGCGAATGTAAATTTTCATATTATAAAAAAAAAAAAAAAAAAAAAATCGATCGGGTTATGTAAATACATTATTTTTTTTAATTTGATTTTGTGTCGCACCCCAACCTTTATGCAAGCTCAATGCGACAATAAAGTGCTAAAATACATATTATGAGAAATTAATGATACATTGTGCTAAAAGACTAATATGAACATTAACCTCTCCATTCTTGATGAACAAGTAAAAATTTATAAAATAAATGTTTGATCTTCCTATTATTTAATATCTATAAAAAAAAATACGACAGCTCGGAAAACTATTTATAATCACAACGTGGCTAGTAATGGACAATAAAAATATTAAAAATCTCATATACTCCCTCCGTCCCAATACAATGGTCTTATGTATCATTTTTGTCCGTTCCAAAACAATAGTCTTACTTCCATAAATAACAATATCACCATATAACTACCCATACTTTTTCATTTTTATTACACAATTACCACTATTTTTTACACTAATACACTCACAAGGGCAAAAAAGTCTTTTATCTATATTTTTTTACCAACTATCAATATACCTTAAATCTCGTGTACAATCCAATTAAAACTATAGTTATGGATCGGAGGGAGTATTAAACTTTTTAAAATAAATATTCCAACCTACACATGCTTTAAACATAATACAAAAATTCTTTTTACATATATTTTATTCAATCAAACCTATCTTCGTTAAATCTTAACCAACTAAATTCATTTCTTTGCCCTTGAAATTAAATTTTTATCTAAATCCACAATAACAGTATTTCTAAACTTTATATATATATATATATATATATATATAACAAAGAAATAGTTCAAAATAAACACATATATGTGAGGTTTGGGACATGTGAAGTACGTGTGCCACTATGCATTTATGGATATTAAATAAGCTCACCACTTCACCAAGGGTGTCTTTGTGTTCATACACAAATTATCATTATTATTATTATTTATTTTACATATTTTTTTAATAAAAATATAATATTTCTTAGACAAATCATGACATAGTATATATTATAATGTTGCTTGTCTTTTTTTTTAACATGAAAATCCGTGGTAAAAAGTCATATTTAGGGGTGTCAGTGTTTTCGGATTATATTTATGTCGGGTTGAGCCATGGGGATAATAAAAAATCTGTCAACTCGAATCCGATCCAAACCCGAAATTTGACCTAAAACACTAGACCCGAACACGGCACGAATACGTTCGGGTTGACCTGAATTAGTTTTAGGTCATCCGAAACCCGAACAAACTCTATACAAACCCGACATGAAACATATCCGAAAACTTTAAAAAAATTAAATCAACCTAAAAAAATCATTTTTATTTTCATATTATTTTATATTAAAATAATATAAATATTATAAATTAAAATAATAATAATAATAATTTTAGGTCAACTCGAAACACGAAATCTGAAACCTAACCTGATTTTTATGTTTCAGATTATCAAGTCAACCCGAAACACGACCTAACCACGACACGAATTTTTTTCGTTTTGAGTTTGAATCGACCCGATTGTTTTCAAACCTAAAATATCCAAATCCGAACCTAAAAAGTTTCAGATCGAACGGATTTGATTTTTTGGATCGGATTTAATTTTGACACCCCTAGTCACATTAGACAAACTATGTATTTTTATGGGACTGTTTATCTCTTTTTTTACGTCGAAATTTAAACTCATTACTTTACGTTCATAAGTTCACTCTCCAGTCATCCTTTACAGGAGACTGTTTGTCTCTTTTGATTTAACAAATTATTGATGCTCAATATTTGCGGTTTAATTTGATAATCCAGTCAGAAAATTGCATAAGTCATTATTGCAAACTAAAGTAGTGATATAAGAAGAAAGGGTGGAATAATTAAATTAAATTAAATTAAATATTATTGGGATAACTAATTGCAAAAAAAAAAATACAAAAAAATAAAAACATGCTCTTGATTAAATATTTAAGTTTGTTATATACCATTTGTGTCACCATCAAAAAGTGTGGATAATTAATAATATTTAATATATAGATAATTAGGCATGCGCATGCTTTTATTTATATTTATATTTATATTTAATTTCTATTTGTGTTTTAGCCTTTTAGGGTTGGGCATTAATTATTTGTTGTCGTAATTATTCATTGTGCACTTTATGGCTTTTAAAACTATTTTAATGGATTAAGGACAAATGATAATTATATTATTAGCACTATTTTTATTTTATTTCCATTTTTATTTATGCTATATATTATGAGATGATTTGGTGTGCGCCTTACAGTTACATGTTTTGTTTAATTTTAGTTTCAGATCAAAATCAATATCTTTAGTATATAAGGATTATTAATAAAAATATATTTTATTTTTTTCTCAGCTAAAAAAAATATACTTTCTCCGTTCGCCTGTTATATTTATTTTTTTGTCATTATATTTAATATTAAAAATATTCTTATATTTGTATAATTTTTTATAAAAATATTTTCTATTAATATTATAAGACACCAATTGAAATATTTTTACAATTTTTTTTAATTTGTACTATATTTTGATATAATAATTAATATTCAAATATTAATATGCAAAAAGTAAATAGGACCCTTAAGGCCGGACGAATATAGTATATATATTTTTTTACATTGAATTTAAAGAATAATAATATTTTAATTATAGTAGATAATTAAAAATTGTGTAATGACAATTTTGCTTTTATTTGTTAATGTAAAAATAATAATGTCATAATAAAATAAACATATTTGCAAAAAAATAATTATTTTATAATTGAACAATTAAATATATATATTACGAGTAAATCGGAATAATATTATTGTTAAAATATATGTTGAAATATTTTAAAATTTTATAATTAATATATTTAATATGCATATTATTATATTTTTCTCTATCCATGCATAGATATTGTTAATATATATACTTTCAACATAAGAGTTAAATGAATATTTTATTTGAATAATAATCGATAAGTACTTTTGTATATAAAAACTGTTTTATTATTGGATTTCAATTTATATAATAGTATTGACGTAAACAATCATAAAAACTATTATCACATTACATAAATATGATATGTGTAATGCTGATTGTACCAAAAATTTGTTGTCATACTTAATTTATATTGGCCTGCATACAAATTTAGTTTAGATCTAATTATTTTGTGTTGGATTCGACCCTTCAAATACTCCAATGCGCATATTTGTCTAGATCTGAATTAATCTTTGGGCTTGTTAAAAGAAAAAAAATCAAAGAACACAAGTACACAGATCTATAGTTAGGGAGTGAGGAAAGCCTACACTCCAAGTGATATTCATTATCAAATGTACTGACGAATGAGGAGGCGAGTTTCTAACGTTACACGCCTTAATCACAAGGGATCTAATAGAGCAAATGTCTCTACGCATGAATCAACTAAGGACATGCACAGTGTTCACACAGGAACACTTTAACATCAACATTATTGCACTGAATCACTTCATAATCAGAAGGGGTGAATATAACCTAACCAGTATAACTGGAAAACCGTTAATCACAATATTCTTGTGCCTGCATTTCTGAACCTCGAACACCAGTAAAAAACACCAATACTCAGCAAGCCAAATCAAGTGCCTGTGGAAGAGAGAGGAGACGAAGAAAAAACTAAAACATTATGTTAGTGATAGAAATCAGTAGAGCGAAGTAAAGGAATAATCGATGCGGAGATCAATTTGAGAGCGAAAGAGGCGTAGACGGAATGAAGTGAAACAACCACAGTGATGTAGTGCTATGTGTGTGAATGGATCTGTATGGATGATGGTGAAGGCGGTGATGTAATGCTCTGTGTGCGAATGGATCTGTATGGATGATGATGAAGGCGGTGGTGATGTGCACAGTGAACGGAGGTGAATGATAGAGTGAGTGACGGAGGAGATAATGAAAGGTTAATCTAATATTGAGAACTAGGTGTATATATATATATATATATATGGGTTCACCTACAAGCAGAAGTTGGGCCAAGCCCATAACCTGAACTCAATACGGGCCAAGAGGTGGAAGCCCAATTTTTAACACCCCATTCACTCGAAAGACTGTCATTAGCAACCTGAAATAAATTAAACAAATTGTTAAGTCTACATAGTTGATAAAGAGATGTACTGTCAAGACTTTTTGTAAGCAAGTAAGCCCGTTGTTCATCAGAGGGAATGAAATGTGTTTAGATGATTCCCTTGGAGATGAGATCCCTTACCACGTGGCAATCTACCTCAATATGTTTGGTTCTTTCATGAAACACGGGGTTAGCAGCAATTTGTAAAGCAGCGGTGTTATCACAATACAAATCTACAACAGTATCATGACTAATATGCAAATCCTCAAGTATGCCAAGAACCCAAACTATCTCAGCACACGTTTGGGCCATAGCCCTGTACTCAGCCTCAGCAGAGGACCGATAAACTGTCGACTATTTTTTACTTTTGAAGGAAATCAAAGAGTTCCCAAGAAAAACACAAAACCCAGTCACAGACTTCCTAGAAATTGTCTGAATCATAATAGGCTTTTAAACACAGATTATTGCCCTTAGAAAAAAGTAGTCCCTGTCCAGGACACCTCTTTAGGTACCTTAGTACTTTTAGAGCAGCTTTCATGTGTGACTCTTTTGGTTTATGCATAAATTAGCTTAGAACTTGGACACTAAAGGCAATATCAAGTCTCGTGAGAGTCAAGTAAATCAATTTTCCAATAAGTTGTTGATATATAACAACATTTTTCACTAAAGGGTCAGCCGCGCTCTCTATGTTATCAAGTTTCAAATGTTGCTCCACAGGAATTAAAGAAGGTTTGCAACCTAATAATCCAAACTCAACAAGCAATTCAAGAGCATATTTTCGTTGAGAGAACACAATTCCTTTATTGCATCGAACTGCTTCTATTCCTAAAAAATAGTTGAGAACCCCTAAATCTTTTATTTTAAACTTTTGATTCAAAAAACTCTTGAACTCTGTGATTTTTTTCACATTGTTACCGGTAACAAAAATATCATCCACATAAACAAGGGCTATGATAATCAGATCATGTTCAACTTTAACAAAAAGAAAATAATCATGTAGGGACTGTTTAAAACCAAATTCAATCATAGCTGATTTTAATTTTTCATTCCATTGCCTGGGAGCTTGTTTCAAACCATACAATGACTTATTTAGAAGACAGTGTCTGTTTTGAAACAATTCTGGATACCCCTTGGGGGGTGTCATATAAACTGTTTCATAAAGATCACCGTGTAAAAATGCATTATTCACATCTAATTGAAAGATTTCCCAGTTAGAGTCAACAACAACAGAAAGAACACATCGAACAATAGTCATTTTGACCACTGGTGAAAATGTTTCGTGAAAATCTAACCCTTTTTTTTTACTGAAACCCTTAGCAACAAGACTAGCTTTGTACCTCTCAACTGTCCCATCGGAGTTGTATTTAATTTTAAACACTCACTTACAACCAACCGGCTTTCTATCCTTAGGTAAATCACAGAGAACACAAGTTTCGTTATCAACAAGAGCCTTCATTTCGAGATCCATAGCTTGTTTCACTTGGGATCAAGAATGGTTTCTCGAACACTTTGAGGCTCAATTAAAATTGGCCAACAAGCAAAGACTTTCATTAGACAAATCTCTCAGAAGACGACACACATCACTAAGGGGATAGTTGACAACAACACTACCTATAGTGACTTGATAGTCATGGAGGTAAGAAGGTAGGCAACTTCTTCTGCTCGAATGACGCCTATTGAGGTATGCCTCAGTGTTTAAATCAGTTATTTATGTTATAATGTCAGGGTCACATCACTGATTTGTGTTGCTACCATTAGTAACACTTGGTTGTTGATTCAGGAGAAGAGTCTAAATCTCATCCAAGGTCATCACTAAATGACTACCTTCACAAATCTCAAAAGGGTCATCATAGGCACCAAATGAAGGCACAGGATTGTGAGCAGAAGGAACTGGAACACCTATAGTTGTAGATGATTGGAAGGGAAATACGGATTCATAAAAACAACATCACATGAGACAGACATAGCAAAGGTTTCTAAGTCTAGAACCTTGTAACCCTTCTTACTTTCAGTGTAGCCAACAAAACAGCAGCGTCTAGCTCTAGGATGGAACTTATCTGATATGTTCAAGTTTGTAGCATAGCACAGACAACCGAAGACTTTTATTGTGTTCAGTTTTGGCTTTTTCCCATGGACAACCTGGAAAGGGCTCTTCTTCTCAAAAAAAGGAGTTGAGAGCCTATTTATTATGTAGACTGTTGTAAGAATATAGTCTCCCCATATATTAGCAGGACAAGAACTTTGAAATATAAAAGCTCTAGCTACATTCAAGATATGTCTATGTTTACGCTCAGCAACTCCATTTTGTTGAGGAGTATAGGTACAAGAAGTTTGGTGCACTATTCCAGAGTTTTTAAAAAAATCAGTGAGAGAAGTGTTCACAAATTCAGTTCCATTATCTTATCTAAAACACTTGACACTTTTATCAAACTGATTATTAATTAAAACAAAAAACTCTTTCAGACAGACAGACATTTCAGACTTATTTCCTAACAAAAAAACCCAAGTAGCACGAGAAAAGTCATCTACAAGTGTAAGGAAATACTTGAAACCAACTCTGATTTCGACATGATACGGCCCCCAAACATCACCATGAACAAGCTCAAATAGAACTTTTGACTTGTGATGGCTAAGAGAAAAGAAATTTCTAGTTTTCTTTGCCAAATGACAAATGTCACAAACTGAGACTGACATGTCAGACATACCAAAGTCTGCCTTAAGAAGATTTGACACCTCGTGAGACGGATGCCCTAGACGAAAATGCCACAAGACAAGGTTGTTATCTGCTCCAACATTAATGCAGAAATGCTTCTCACAATTAGACTAAGGACTGTCATACTTGTACAGTCCTCCTACAAGTTTAACTATCCCTAACACACTTCCATCTGAAACACTTTGAATTACACAGGCATTTTTAAAGAAAAATACAGAAACAGTCCCAAGAGCAGAAAGCCTATTGACAGAGAGTAGGTTTAAATTGAACTCAGGTACAACTAAAACATTTTCTAAAATAATTGTGTTACTTAAGTGCATTTTTCCCAATTCAACCACAGTAGCAGATTTTCCAGTAGGAAGAGTAACATGTATAGGACCACTTTCAATAGTTTTAACATTACGAAGAAGAGTTCTATCAGCTACCATATGATCTGTACCTCCAAAATCAACTACCCGATCACTACACATAACCAAGTTGCATAGATGAGTAGAGGACATACCTGCCATGTTGAGCCTGGGAAAGCCAATACCTTTCTTCTCATGCAACAGCCTAATCAGTTTATCACAAACATCGGGAGTTAGAGAAACATTTTTGGAAGACCCTGAAGGTTCATTATTTTCATATTTAGCAGAAATATTATTAGCAAAAACATGAGGAGTTGTGTTCATGTTAAATATTTGTTTTTGTTTTTTCAGGATAACCTATCAATTGGTAACATCTTTCAACCAAGTGGCTTGTTCTACCACAGTGTGAACATTTAAGATTTGGATTTTTTGCATTAGTCTTTATTGGCCTTTTAACAGCAAACACACCATTGTTTTTTGAAGCAACATTTTCATTACAAATAATTTTGTGACTCTTGACTTACTAAATTATAAGCTTCTTTGACTGATAGAGGGGGACTCATAGTGAGAATTATACTCCTAACAACAGAGAACCTATCATTTAGACCCATAAGAAACTGGATTAATTGTTGAGTTTGTTCATATTTATCCAAAGAGGCCTTAGCACTACATACACACCGATCTACAGCTTTAATGGATGTTGCATGGTTCCACAGTTGTTTTAGATTGGTGTAGTAGGTATTCACACTATCACTCCCTTGCCTACTGTTCGCTATTTGTTTCAAAATAGCATATATACTAGCTCCGCTATTTTCTCCATAAATACTCTAAATGTCTTTCCACATATCAGATGTTGTTTCATAGAAAACAAGTGTTCTGTAGATTGATTTATCAACAGAGTTCAATAACCAACACATTATCACAACATTACACATGTTCCATTTTTCAATAAATTCAGCATCGGAGGGCATAGTAACATAACCTTCAACAAATTTTAGTTTATTTTTACCTGTTAGAGCAATGGTCATGGCTCTGTTCCAAATAACAAAATTCTCACAACCAGTTAAAACGCAAGAGATTAAGAAAGTGTTGGCATAATCCGAAAGATGAAGATACAACGGATCATATAAACTTGTAACTAGAAATGGATTATTTGTCATACCAGACACTTGAGTGACATTTTCACCCATCGAGGACAAAGTAACAGAGGAAAACTCCAACTACACCTTCTGCACACCACAAACAGCAAAGCTAAATCAAGAATATCCACCTATAAACAAAAAGGATGTCAAACCTGCTCTGATACCATGTTAAAAAATAAAAATAAAAAAATCAAAGAACACAAGTACACAGATCTATAGTAGGGAGTGAGGAAAGCCTACACTCCAAGTGATATTCATTATCAAATGTACAGGCGAACGAGGAGGCGAGTTTCTAACGTTACATGCCTTGATCACAAGGGATCTAATAGAACAAATGTCTCTACGCATGAATCAACTAAGGACATGCACAATGTTTACACAGGAACACTTTAACATCAACATAATTGCACTGAATCACTTCATAATCAGAAGGGATAAATATAACTTAACCAGTATAACTGAAAAACCGTTAATCACAATATTCTTGTGTCTGGCTTTCTGAACCTCGAACACCAGTAAAAAAAACACCAATACTCAACAAACTAAATCAAGTGCCTGTGGAAGAGAGGAGACGAAGAAAAAACTAAAACAGTATGCTAGTGATAGTAATCAGTGACGTGAAGTGAAGGAATAATCGATGCAGAGATCGATTTGAGATAGAGCGAAGAGGTGTAGACGGAATGAAATGAAACAACCATAGTAATGTAGTACTCTACGTGTGAATGGATCTGTATGGATGATGGTGAAGGCGGTGGTGATATGCACAGTGAACGAAGGTAAATGAGAGAGTGAATGACGGCGGAGATGATAAAAGGTTAATCTAATATTGAGAACTAAATATATATATATATATATAGGTTCACCCACAAGCAAAAGTTGGGCCAAGCCCATAACCTGAACTCAATACGGGCCAAGAGGTGGAAGCCCAATTTTTAACAGGGTCATATATAAGTAATAGGCATTTTTTTTTTAACATGAAAATTCGCAGCCGTTATCCGAAAGTGCGCATTAGGTAAATCTTCGGATAAATCTAGTATTCTGCAAACTAAATTCAACAAAACAAATCATACTAGACAAAATATATGTACAACAGTGGCGGACCTATTAAGGGACCCCACCTCATCCCACTTTTACCTTATTTTATTAAATTTTTTATTTTTATTTTTAAAAGTAATATATATATAATATATAAAAAAATATTTAAAATAAATAAAAAATATCAAAGTGTTGATTTTTTTTAATAAGAAGTGCATTAGTTTTTTTTTTTTAACAAAAGATAATATATCAATATTTACTAATAAAATTTTATTTATTTATTTATTTAAACTAATATTCAATATTAGTATGCAATAACAAAATATATATATTTATTAAGTAGACGATAATAGTATTATTTTACAAATAAAAATTTTATTTTGTAAATTTAAAATTTTTCCTACCCTCTAATAATATTCAAAGTTCTGTTACTGTGTGACAGGTGTATATAGTCTACTTATGTACCGAATTAATGGAATAAAGTGAATTACTCAAATTATAATTAAAGTACAATGTTATATATATATAAAAGATATATTAAGCATAGATATATATCTAAATATATACAATATATATCACCATATATATTAAGGTTTCTCACTCCAAAGCTACGTTTATGTCTCAATCATGTCGGCCCAATTTTTTGGGAAATAATTTTGAATGAAAATTTGTGTGATAATTTGGGAATTTTTTTTCGCACAATTGTTTTGTTTTTCGAAAAAGCCAGACGAATTCCAAACTCAATGTATTGGTTTTGTTACATGCTGCCCAATAACATTAGCTTCATGCCAACAGAGTGTAGGCTATATACATACTTAAATACTTATAAAATAGGGACTCAAAAAACCAATGCAAATTATATATATATATATATATTATTATAGGGGTGGGCAGATAAACCAGAAATACCTTGTCAAGCCCATTTAATCAACCTCCTCAATCTTAGGCCCAGCTCCAGCTCCAGCTCCACCGCCAGGTGCGGCGGCGCCACCCGGCGGCGCATCCCCGGCGGCGCCACCCTGATACATCCTAGCAATGATCGGATTGCAAAAGTTCTCCAACTCCTTCAACTTATCCTCAAATTCGTCAACCTCCGCCAGCTGATTCCTGTCCAACCATTCCATCGCCTCGTCCACCGCCTTCTCGATCTTCTCCTTCTCCGCCGCCCCAAGCTTGCCGGCGATCTTCTCGTCCTTCACCGTATTCCTCATACTGTAGGCGTAATTCTCCAGAGCATTCCTCGCCTCCACCTTCTTCTTCACCGCCTCATCCTCCGCCCTGTACTTCTCCGCCTCCTCCACCATCCGATCGATCTCCTCCTTGCTCAGCCGCCCCTTGTCGTTCGTGATCGTGATCTTGTTCTTCACTCCGGCCGTCTTGTCCTCCGCGGAGACGTTCAGTATGCCGTTGGCGTCGATGTCGAAGCACACGTTGATTTGCGGAACGCCTCTCGGCGCCGGAGGGATTCCGGCGAGCTCGAACTTTCCGAGCAGATTGTTGTCCTTGGTCATCGGACGTTCGCCTTCGTAGACTTGGATCAGCACGCCGGGTTGGTTATCGGAATATGTAGAGAAGATCTGTTCCTTTTTGCTGGGGATTGTGGTGTTTCTAGGGATTAAGACTGTCATTACGCCGCCGGCGGTCTCCAGGCCGAGGCTTAACGGCGTGACGTCGAGGAGTAAGAGATCCTGTACCTTTTCGTTGCCTTCGCCGCTCAGAATCGCCGCCTGTACGGCGGCGCCGTACGCCACCGCCTCGTCGGGGTTGATGCTTTTGCAGAGATCCTTGCCGTTGAAGAAGTCCTGCAACAGCTGCTGCACTTTGGGGATTCTGGTGGATCCTCCGACGAGGACAACGTCGTGGACGGAGCTCTTGTCGATTTTAGCATCTCTCAAGCATTTCTCTACTGGATCCATACATTTCCGGAACAGATCCATGTTCATCTCCTCGAACCGTGCTCGTGTGATTGTGGCGTAGAAATCGATACCTTCGTACAACGAATCGATCTCGATTGTGGTCTGAGCAGTTGAAGATAACGTCCTCTTCGCCCTCTCGCAGGCGGTTCTCAGCCGCCGGAGCGCTCTGGCGTTGCCGCTGATGTCCTTCTTATGCTTCCTCTTGAATTCTGCGGCGAAGTGATTCACCATGCGGTTGTCGAAATCTTCGCCGCCTAAATGCGTGTCGCCGGCGGTGGCCTTCACCTCGAATATTCCTTCTTCAATAGTCAGCAATGAAACATCGAAAGTACCACCGCCGAGATCGAAAATCAGCACGTTTTTCTCGCCGGATCTCGACGCCTTTTTGTCCAATCCGTAGGCGATCGCAGCAGCCGTCGGCTCGTTGATGATCCTCATAACATTGAGGCCTGCAATTGCACCGGCGTCCTTCGTGGCCTGCCGCTGCGAATCGTTGAAATACGCAGGAACAGTGACAACAGCGTTCTTAATCGTTTGCCCTAGGAAAGCTTCCGAAATTTCCTTCATCTTCGTCAAAACCATAGACGAAATTTCCTCCGGAGAAAAGAGCTTCTCCTCGCCTTTATACTGCACCTGAATCATCGGCTTGTCGCCGGCGCCGGGAATCACCTTAAACGGCCAGAGCTTCATGTCGCTCTGGACAGAAGGATCCGAAAACCGGCGACCGATGAGACGCTTCGCATCGAACACAGTGTTCTGCGGATTCATCGCCACCTGATTCTTCGCCGCATCGCCAATCAGCCTCTCAGTGTCGGTGAACGCTACATAAGATGGAGTAGTTCGATTACCTTGATCGTTGGGGATAATTTCAACGCGATCGTTCTGCCAAACTCCCACGCAGCTGTAAGTCGTGCCTAGGTCGATGCCGATAGCCTTGCCTGCCATTTTCAGAAACCTCACCGATCAACAAGGTATCAAAAGATCGAATTCGTGCGGAATTCTTCAGTAGGAATCGCAAATCTTTGATTGTTCTGAGATGGATACGATCCATTTCCATGAGCAGCATCTATATACGAGATCGGAGGGTTCGAGAGAGATCGAGAGAAGCTACAGGAAGGAAGGAAGGAGGAGCCAGGAATAAACTAGGGAGGACTAGAAATGTTGCACTCATTCTAGAACTGTCCTTTTAAAACCTTTTAAAAGAGGTTTCTAGAAAGCGCGGGAAATTGGAGGAAATTTTGTAATTACACGTTTTCTCCGTCTTACAAATGTTTGCCTATTTACCCGATTTATTAAAAATCGAGTAATAATTATTAATTTTTTTTTTACAGTAAAAATAATACATAAGTGAAATAATTTTTTACTTAAAAAGAAAATAAGATCGATGACAACCGAAAAAAAAAAGTAAACATAGATTTGATACTTTATTCTTCCCAAAGTAATTTGTTTCTATTTTTTATTTTTGGACGTATTTGATAGTTAGCTGATTCAATTAGTTGATTTGACTAGGTGATCTAATTAGTTGTTTGTATTAAAATATTTAGTAAAATAAAAGTTTAATATTAAATGTTTATACGTAAAATAACAATTGAGACATTTATATTTTATTTTTTTCTAATATATTTAATTGTTTTCTTTTGAATTTAGAATGTTTGAAATTTTTTTTATTAGTTATTAAAAATTGTAAAAGTGTTATAAAATAATATTTATTTTTATTATAGTTAGATTTAAAAAATAATACTATATTTTTATTGAAAAATATAAATTATTTTTTCTATTAAAAATAGTATAAAATATAAAATAATAAATTTTTCGTGTATATATTTATTATGTTAATTATCGATTAGTTTATTATATTTATAATTTTTAATACATTTAATTTATTTAATTTATTTTTAGTATGAAATTTATATAATGTAATTTTAATATAAAAATAGATTATTAATATTTATATTTTTATTATGTGTTAATTTTAATAAATTTATATATTTTACAATTAAAATAATTTATATATAAAAATTAATTATTTTAAATTTATAAAAGTAAAACTATAATAGTATAATAAAATATTATAATATAATTAATAAATAATCAAAATATATTTATTTGTGTAAAATGCATAATAAATTTTAAGGGCAAATAAGAAATAAAAAAATTTAAACATTTCATAAATTAGTTTTTTTGTTCCAAAAAACTATTTTTACCAAACACCTAAATTAGCAGTCAAACAGCCAAAAGGTGTTAAATAAGCCAAAAGTTATTCAAAAAGTTATTTTCCAAAACACTCTCTTTGTCTAACCCACATAATTTGTCATTTTTTTAAAATATAATTATACACTTTAATCATATTTTAAATTTTATAAATTTTTTAATCATAATTAAACTATTTGTTTATTTTAATCTTAATATATAATTAGTTTTATTATACAATAATTGTTTTTAGTAATACATTTTTCAATTATTTACTAGTTATATATATATATATATTTTTTGTCTAAATTCTCACATTAATACGTTTATATTATACGGGATGGAAGGAGTACCTATTTTTGAAAAAAAAAAAAAGAAATGAAAATGTTGGATATCTGGATATCGATTCTCGTAATATCTGAACTACATCTAACTTTTCGTTATTTACATGTTTGGTTCACCAATTTTTTTTTTTAATAGTTTATTTGTAGGATTTATATTGCATTTAAAATTTGAAATCACGTTAGATTGATAAAATTATTTAGAACTTATATCTTCAAATTCAATTTGACTTACAAATTAATTGAAAATTTTGACTTTTTTATATTTTTAAATGAAGTAATTAATTTTCTAAGAGTTTTATTTATTGTAATAAATTAAATATTACATTCATTTTTTTTTATTTTTTTTATTTTTTTTTACCAAATTGAATGTGTTCTAATAAAAAATTTTAATACAATATTTTATTTATATCAAAGAAAATATTATTCCTTCCGTCCTACTTACTGTGTTCACCTTTTTATTTTTGTTCGTCTCACTTATTCCGCCACTTTCCTTTTTTGGAAAAGAATTATACAGTTTAATTTCATTTTAAAATTTTTAATTTATAATTTTTTAAATTTTAATTACACTAGTAGTTATCTTAATCTCAATATAAAATTATTTTTATTATACTATAATTATTTTTATTAATATATTTTTAATTAGTTACTAATTAATCCCTCATAAATTCTCATTTCGTACAGTAAAAAAATCACAATAACCGAGACATAATATAATATATATACGTATTCACACAAAATACATAATCTATATAATCTATATACTAAAAAAATACAATAATTTAATATAAAACATTATTTTTTACACTACACTTAATTTAAAAATATAAAATTAATATACAAGTCAAATAAATTTAAATTATTAGTTTATTTAAAATATATTAGTAATACAATTAAATATCAATAAAATTAATGATTATTATAAATAATTATATATATTTGTAGTAATATGTTTAAATAAAATATTATATTTATAAAATTAATAAAATATAATTTATATATACATATAATATTAAAAAAGAAGAAGAAGATATGATTTTTTTTTTGGGGAGAGGATAAAATGGTAAAATATGAAATATAAGAAGAATAAGATTTTAAAGTAACATGATACACTATTATTAAAAAAATTCTTCATTGTAAAATTTTTGAATTCCATTCATTTTAAATTTCAGTATCTATTATGTATCAAACATGAATTCATTATGATTTTAAATTTCAAATTCCATAAAATTTCACAAAGTTCATGAACCAAACAGTCTCTTAAGGTAAGTTTGGAAAAATTTGGTTTGAGTCTGAATTGAATTTGAATTTTGAATAGGTTTGGATTTATATGTTCCTTTAGATTTGTATGCTTGGCTTGGCTTGAGTTTGTGAAGTTTTGATAAGTATTGATTTGATAGTTAATAACTGTGTTGATTTAAAAGTGTAATGTATGGATTTTTAAAAATAGTTTTATGAACGTTTTTTTTCACAAACCGTTTACAGACCACAAGATCGGGGATGAAGATCTGAGCAAACACTGCTATTGACTTCGAAGCTCCGTTGTATCACATTGTCGTCATCGATTAACAATATGTCCATCGTCTTTCAAATTTTGACGTCATGTTCTAAAATTCACTATTGTTTACACATCTTCTGTGAAACAAAACGGGGAAAAATTGTAGGGTAGTAGTGTAAGAAAAAGGGAACGGTGATTGGTTGGTGTACACACCTCGCACCAACCACGTATTTACAAAACTTTTTTTTTTTTTTTTTTAAAGAGATTAAATTCACTAACCTTTAGACCGGCCTATGCGCCTAAGCTCTGCAAGTTGTCGGAATAGAGTATGTTTTCCGGTGTGAATTCCTCCGCACAATAAATCAATAGTAGAATTCTTCAAATTTTACCGGAAACACAACCTTAATTAATTATTATTATTTGATATATATATTAGTAACATAATTATTCTCGTGCACGTCCAACTGTTCAAAATTGTCAATTTTAATTTGTTAAAGGGTTTAGGGTTTATTAACATAATTATCTCAATTCATTAAAATTAGTCAATTAGGTCTGACACGGAAATTAAGAAAAATAAATATTTTTATTGAAAAAAGTGACATGTGTGTATTTATTTTGTAAGATAATTTAAAATATAATTTTTTGATGTGATGTATATATATAGGAAATATAAAAATAATGAAATGTAATATATTAATATTTTTGAAAAAACATGTATATATATATTTTTTTGTTAAAAAAATACATCCATTAATAATATTTTAAAAATTTTAATTAAAAAATAAAAAAAAATATATAACAAAATTAGTGGTATTTACCGTAAATAAATATTGTATAAAGAGCACACCATGCCCAATGCAACACATTTAAAACCTATTGGCCCCAGCCACTTCCAACAAAACCGTTATTATATTTTCTCTATATTCTATTATACGTAATGCCACTTGTTTAACAAGTAAGAAAGAATTCACTGATTTTCATATTGTAGAATAGTTTTAAAACTTTTTTTATTTTTTATTTTTTTTATATATGAACAAATTTATTATTTTATTTAATCGGATATATATTCTTAAAAAATTTATATCTATATTATACTAATACTTTGTATTAAATAAAATAATTTATCAAAAAAAAATTCTATGTGATATTTAAATTATTTTTAATATATATTTAATTTTAAAAATAAAAAATTAATTATAATTATATATAATATTATAATTTATATTAAATTTAATATATATATAACAATATTAAAATAACATATTTTTTTCTTGAAAAAGAACGATTCCAAGTTTTTAATTTTTTTTTTTTATGATTTAAAAACTTTCCATTTTTTAATTTTTTTTTTCTTTTTTATGATTTGGCATGTGTCAGTGTTATTTATGGGATAAAAACTTTCCATTTTATATACTCTAATAATTAAATACTGCTTATTTAATAATTTTAATTATAAATATATAAATATATATATATATATATATATCAAAATATTTTGCCCTGATTCACTGATTCAGATCACAAGCGGCGCTTCCTCTCCTTCTCCCCTTCATTTTCTTCATCTTTTTCATTCTCCTGCTGCTCGGCGTCGCCAACACTGGTAAGATATATGTATATATATACACATATATATATATATATTTTTTATTCTTTATATATTTAATTATTTATTTTTGTATTATTATAGTATATTATTTATAATTATATTCTTGAGCCTGGGTTTGGATTTGGCCCAATTAAAAATAGCCCAAAATTTGTTTCTTGACGGAAGGGAAACCGTGAATCTATATGTCTAACAACGGGGGAGGGGAGTCGAGTGTTCGAATAACAATCGACGGTTTTTCTTTCAAATCTGTAGAAATGAATGTAAGTTCCATTAGCGTGTCTATGATTTTGTTTTGTAAGTTCGATTCGCGTCGGGATTTAGTGTATGTAGGTTAGTTTTTGAGTTTTTGCTTTTGTGTGATGTTTTTTTATTTAAATCCGTGATTATTTTGAAATGATTGCAGGTGGCGGATTCAGCTGTTGCGATGAACAATTTGCTTGGTTCAGAAGGGGATTCTCAAAGAACACTGTATGCTTTCACATATTTCTTATTGATGTATTCGATGCTGCAATTTTAAGATCTAGCAGTTTGAATTAGACGAATTACAATAGAACTAGGGTTTGAGGTGGTTTTTATTTTTTTCCGAAGTTTGGGCATTTTTGTATTTTAGTGTACTGTGATATTTTCTTTGAAGGATTATGTTGTTTTTGGGTGTCTGAAAGGGTTTGCTTTGCTTAATTTGTGATTGTGTTGGATTTGTTGCATAGGTATCCATATGTGACTGGGACATCAGTTGTTGGCATCAAGTACAAAGATGGAATTCTCCTTGCTGCTGATATGGGAGGTTGGAAATCGATATCTTACTTTAAGTTGATCTAAATGTGTTGGAAGAATGTGTTTAGTTGAGTCGAAAAAGTTCTTAGTTTATTTTACCAGAATTACTTATCTAATGAGAAATTGAATGATTGCCTTGGGGGAAAGAAAGTTTTCATTAGGTTATTGGTTTAGCATTGCCTGTAATGGTTTATAATTTTTGTATGGATCATTTCTAGTGATGAGCTTCTTGTGAGATGGATTTTATAATCTTTTGATAGGGTATATATATAGTTCAAGCATCATGATGGTTATTTTATTTTATCTTTAAATAAATCGATTGGTAGTTTCTGTTGTTCGAATTGAAAGTAGAACCTTTTTATTGGGAAAAAAATGGTCAGGGAACTGATTCTGTGGTTTTATTGTTTCGTGAATTGCATAAAATGATATTTGTGGTGATGTTCTTATTGATATGAGCTATTTATCAAATCATACGATCCTTTTCTTTTGTTTAGACAGATTTTCCCATTGCATTCTTGAAAAATTTTGGTTAGAGTTGTTTGTATGCTTCCACCCCCCCCCCCCCCCCCCCCCCCCCCCCCCCCGAAGACTGTGCTTCCTTTCTTTCTTTCTTTTTTTTCTACTATATTTTTTTTTTGTGTGGTTATGGCTATGTTCATTATGTTTTTCTTGTATAGGCTCTTATGGATCTACACTTCGCTACAAAACTGTGGAGAGATTGAAGCCGGTGGGAAAACATTCCATTATTGGTGCGAGTGGTGAGATCAGTGATTTTCAAGAGATAATGCGATATCTCGATGAACTCATGTATGTCTTTCATCATTTCATTTCAAGTAAACATAGAAATTCTTCATGTTCTTGTCGTGGTTGCATTTTTTGGCATTGTTGATTATAATTCTTGCATAGTCGGGATATTTAACTTCTATTTGTGCTTGTAGCCTGGTTGATAACATGTGGGATGATGGCAACTCCTTTGGTCCTAAAGAGGTGCATAATTATCTAACCCGGGTTATGTACAATCGGCGTAATAAGTTCAACCCATTGTGGAACTCTCTTGTTCTTGGTGGAGTTAAAAATGGACAAAAATACCTCGGAACGGTATAAGAACTTTTTTCATCCTGTGTTCATAATAAAATTGTTTCAGTTAATATATGAGATCCATCGACTAATTTCTTATATAAATACCTTGGAACTCTCTTTGTCCTATTTTTTAGGTCAGTATGATCGGCGTGCACTACGAGGACAACCATGTTGCAACTGGCTTTGGAAATCACCTAGCAAGGCCAATCCTGCGCGATGAGTGGCATGAAAATCTGAGCTTTGAAGAAGGTGTGAAATTGCTGGAGAAATGCATGCGGGTGCTCCTGTATCGTGACCGATCAGCTGTCAACAAGCTTCAGGTCTGTCACATTTTTTTTTTTTTTTTTTTAAAAACCATCTTGTATGTTAGGATTTCTGGTAGGGCTAATTCTTGGTTGATTTCTTGGGTTAGAATTGTTGCTACAAGTCGAAATTAGATTGCCGATTATCTAAAGAATTAATTCTGCATCTCTGAAAAACCAATTATTTAAACTCTAAACGGGTGTTTTGAATCTGCAGATTGCAAAAATCACCGAGGAGGGCGTGACGATCTCCCCACCCTATTCGTTGAAAACATTTTGGAATTTTGCTGCTTTCGAGAACCCTACGGCAGGTGCAGTCGGCTCGTGGTAGTTCGAAAACTTTATGCAGTCAGTCATGAAACTTTGCAGCAGTTTTAAGTAAGATGTTTGTTGGTGTACTGTTGAAATCTCTGCTTGTTTCTGCACTTTGGAACCATTTATGATTATGCTTTTCGACTAAATTCTGAGGTTGGATAAATTATTGAAGTGTCTGTTTTTCTGTTTACCATTGCCCCTTGGGAATTTGATAACTGTCTTTGGCTAACAGAGAAATAGGAGGAATACATACTGTATTGTGGAATTATATATACATATATATATTTATTTATTTCAAAATATTAAATCAATTTTTTTCATCAAATTATATGTATTAATCGATTTTCAACATAATTATTATAAATCCGCTTTTCAACATAATTATTATAAATCCGCAACTTATATACAAATATCGTTATGTTATATAAATATGTACTTATAATATATACTCAGACATAGTTTAATGCAAATAATAATAATTGATGTATATTTTTTTGTTACAAAACAAAAAAAAAAATCGAATTTTTATTTATTAATATATATTTTATATATACAATCAAATATAAATACTCAAAATTATAATATATACTCCTTCAGGAGTATTATTTATTAATATATACTCTCTCTGTCCTAATAGATTTGTTTTATTTTTTTATTTTGGTCTGTCCCACATAATTGTTTTGTTTTTTTATTTAGTAATTGTGGTCCCACTTTATAACAAAATTATTTATACTTTTTCAAATTACTCATAGTTATTATTCTAACTTATTTTTTAAAATTATTCAAAAAAAAAAAAAAAAATTTTAGTGTTATACATTTTATTTTATACTCACTCTCATGCCTATTTCCAATAAGACATTTTTTCTGGGATGGACAAAGTAATTTTTTTTAATATTTTTAAAAGTTTGATTTTTTTGAGTAACCAAAATTAAAAATTGAAAACTGCAATCGGACCAAAATCAAAATTTATCAATTTGATTTTAAATCTAATCAAATTAATTATTTTTTTAATTTTAACCGACCAATGCTCAGCCCTACTAAAAAAAACTAACAATAAATATAATTTCTACTAAAAAAAAAAAAGAATAAATTTAAAAAATATTTTTATAACAATTATAAAATTCAACTTTAAAAATTTCCAAAATCCAAATCCAAATCCAAAGGGTATGGGAAGAGGTGGATACTATGGTATTAGCACAGTATTGGTATTTATGATTATGGATGAGTAATATGAAGATATGAAGAAACGTAGGGACTAAATCGAAAGAAATAAATTGAGAGAGGAGAAGAGAAGAGAAGATATTGGATCTCATCTCTCATCTCTCATCTCAGACGGTATCAGAGAGGAGAGGACCACGTCCACGTCGCATCGCATCACTTCGACACTTCTCTTCCTCCCTGCTTCGTTCAGCTTCGGCGGCCGATCTCATTACCACTTCCCGTAATCGGTGCCTCCTCCTCGTTGATTCTCTACTTTGAGGTTACCTGTTGCTGATTATACCTCGTGGTTGCGACGGGAGGCGGCGTCCACCATCAATCGTCGGTTTGCTCCTGCAATTCAGGTATGTCGCGATTCTTAGCTTTACAAATATGTCGGGGTTTGCGGTTTGGTATGGCTTAGGGTTTAATACCATCTGTTCATTGGAGAAAACTTTGGTTTTGGTCAATCCTCGGCGTAATCTGAATATCTTCCACTACCGGAATGTTGTGTTATTCTTTGTGGTCTGTGGTGCTGCCTCTGAGATTTCCTTTGTTGTTGGAAGTGGTTTAGGAATTGAATTTTCGCTAAAATTTAGTGATTGGTGATTAGTTCTACAGCAAGAGTAATAGTACTATTTATGAATGTTATGCAACCTATACTGGTTGGCGTGATAGGAAAAGGCAAAGAGGAATTGCTTCTTTCTTATTTGGTGTATGGTAGCTGGAAGAAGCTCGAAGATTGGAGCAGTTTCATATGATATAATTCTCTGATAATAAAAACCTGTTTAAAGAAATTTAGGTAACAAGACAATTTTCAAAGCTTTGCCCATAGTGTGGAATCTTGTTGTCTCATCTGCAGTTTTCGAATTTCTCAGGCGATGGCGGACTTGAAGGAGCGTCTGCTCCCTCCAAAGCCTGCATCAGCTATGAATCTAAGAGAATCTTCAAACAGGCCATCTGCCTCTGGCCGTCTCCCGTTTCTTGGAGTTGATGTTTCAGGTCTGAAAAAACGTGGGCAAGGACTGCGTTCGTGGATAAGAGTTGATGCAACTGGAAATTCCCAAGTGATTGAGGTGGACAAGTTCACGATGATGCGCAGATGTGATCTTCCTGCTCGTGATCTGAGATTATTGGACCCGTTATTTGTTTATCCGTCCACTATTCTAGGCAGAGAGAAGGCAATCGTTGTGAATCTTGAACAGATTAGATGCATCATCACTGCGGACGAGGTCTTGCTCTTGAACTCCCTTGATAGCTATGTACTGCAGTATGTGGTGGAGCTGCAGAGACGGTTGCACACTGTGGGAGTAGGCGAGGTTTGGCAGCCGGATAACCCCGAGACAAACAGAAGGAGAGGAAGCCGGAATTTCGATAATATGTTTGGTAATGTTTCTCCTGATTACTTACCATTTGAGTTCAGAGCTCTTGAAGTTGCTTTGGAGGCAGCCTGCACTTTCCTGGATTCGCAGGTACGTGCATTGAAAGATAGTTTGAATATGATGACGAATTCCTTAAGCCGTGTTTACTTTGTTGGATTGGGTCTAGCAGATCACATGTTCATCTTACGAAATAAAAGCATTAAGATGAACAAGAATTCCTCGTACAAGGACCTAGAATAGTTAATCTTGTCCCTTTACCAGGATAGAGTAATCCATTAAGTCGTGTTGTTTTTTATGTGATTATTACAACATGATTACACATGCTTTTATCATCCATGGCATGATTCTATAACATTATTATTATGTAATCACATTATGTATACAAGGTCTGAAATAATTCTTTAGGGCGTGTTTACTAAGGGTGTGTTTGTTTGGGGGTTTGGATTTTGAGTTGGGATTTGAATAGTAAAATTTTTAAATTGTAATAGTTGTATGATGTGATATAAATAGGTGTTAATGTGATGTTTTGAATGTAAAATTAATTTTTAATACTCCCTCCGTCTGGCTTTAAGGGCTCTAAGGGTCTCATTTATCTTCTGCGTCATTGTATTTAACATTAAAAATATTCTTATATTTGTATAATATTTTGCACAAATGTCATTGTAATAGTATTATAAGACACTAATAGAAGTATTTTTGCCTTGTTTCTTTCATTTGTATTAAGTTTTCATATAATAATTAATAATATTGAAAGATCAACATGCAAATAGTAAATGAGACCCTTAGAGCCGGATGAAGGTAGTATAATATAAAAAATGAAAAATAAGTATTTGTTGTAACTGATGAATAGTAGAATTTTGGAAAAAGTCTCTAAACGAACACACCCTAAGAGTAATTATCATGGATTTCACTTATATTATCTTCCCTATCGTATCTTTTCTTATGTCATTTTGTTGTAATTAGACCATTAGAAAATCTTAAAATTGTAGGATTATACTGTTAACTGGTGCTTTGATTCATTAATCTGACATTTTGCAGTTTAACAAATTTTAAAATAAGAAAATTTATTAATAAATAGAGGGTGTGTTCTTTTGGAGTTTGGTTTTTGGTTTTGAATGATGATTTGGTCATGATGTTTTTTAGAGGAAATAATGTATTTTTGTAAAGCATCGATAAATAATTTATATCTTATATGGATGTGTTTTTACAATAAGAATAAAGCATAGTTCTAACTTAATGATATCATTAATTGATCAGTTAAAAGCAACCCTTAGTATTGTATCCTCCATTTATAGTAATCATTGCACACGATTAATATCTCATCCATTAAAGTAAAACACTTACCTTTTTGTCGATTGTTTTACTTTTATCTGAAGACATACCAGTTCAACTTGTATTAGCTAAATATTTCTATTGGTTTTCTATCAGGCTGCAGAATTAGAGATTGAGGCATATCCACTGTTGGATGAACTAACATCGAAGATCAGTACACTAAATCTAGAAAGAGTTCGTAGGCTAAAAAGCAGGCTTGTTGCATTGACTCGGAGAGTTCAGAAGGTACGAAACAAATCCAACAGTCATTTACTTTATAAATTCTACTTCCTAACAATATTTAATCTTATCATTTAGGTCAGAGACGAGATAGAGCAATTAATGGATGATGACGGAGACATGGCCGAAATGTATCTTACCGAGAAGAAAAAACGCCTGGAATCTTCATTTTATGGGGACCAATCCATGATGGGCTACCGGTCAAATGATGGTGCATTGTCTATTTCTGCCCCCGTTTCTCCACTTTCTTCACCACCTGACAATCGAAAGCTTGAGAAATGCCTGAGCATAGCAAGGAGCAGACACGAGAGCATTAGGAGCACAGAAAGTGCTACAAATAGCATAGAAGAGCTGGAAATGCTTTTGGAGGCTTACTTTGTGGTCATCGACAGCACGCTCAACAAATTGACTTCGGTACATAATCTTTGGCCATGATGCTCGACTGTTTCTTTCTTGTTACCCTCCTTACAGAACGGTACTTTATTAAGATTTTTGCATATAATTTCAGCTCAAGGAGTACATAGATGACACTGAAGACTTCATCAACATTCAGCTGGTATGACCCTCTTCTTTCTTTCTGTCTTTTATCTAGAAAAATACCTCAGGATTCAGTATGGAAACCTAAGATATGTTTATTTATTAATCTTTGTAAATATAAAGTAGCAATTTGGTCCTAACATAACGCGTCAATTCGATTTTAATTGTGTTAATTAACAATATTTGATTTTGGTATCAAACAGTTTTCATCATTTTCCTCCAACTTTTGTGTTCATCAACAGTGACTATAGTTGCACACAAACAATTTATACGCACTAATCATTGTCACTTTTTTAACTCACACATGAATCGTTACGCAATGTTTATTAGTCATATAACACAAGGTATATGCTACAATTATTCCTCTACTGAAGGTATGATTTCTCGGTCGAGCCAACTAACTTTTTTCTGTAATAGATAAATTTATAAATAGAATTTGAGAATTAAAGATATTTATTGACTTTCATGTTTTTAGCAAGTCTTTTCCCCCCGCCTGTCAGCGAATTAAACTTCCTGCTTTGCCGCCTCCTGTGCAGGATAATGTTCGAAACCAGCTTATACAGTTTGAGCTAATACTCACAACCGCAACTTTTGTTGTTGCGATATTTGGAGTGGTGGCCGGGATATTTGGCATGAACTTTGATGTACCATTGTTCAAATATCGGAACTCATTCAAATGGGTCCTAATCATTACTGGAGTGGCTACTTCAGTTATTTTTTGCACGTTTTTGTGCTTTTTCAAGTACCGGCGGCTGATGCCACTGTAGATCAGAGCAACGTATGAAGCTGCTGGTGCTGGTAACATATTTCTGCTGCTATTGCTATATCTGTGTTTACTTTTGCATTCAAACGAATAGGCAAAGTAGAATTTTTTAGTTTGTTTTTTTTTTGGCAGTATTCGAGCGTCATGACTTGAACTGGTTACGGGGCTTAACATGCATAGTAGTATAGTAGAGCTTGCTCGAACAAGGATCTTGTCCAAGAAACAAAATAATAGTATGCAAAGATGATGATGATGATGTGCATATGTTTAAGGTTTCATTTTGGCTATAACTAGCAATAGCAATAGATAAAAAGTCTTCCACTCCTTGGTTTATGAGATTTAATGCTTTGTGCCATAGAGAACTAAATTATATGTTTGTACTTTATAGTTTATACTTCTTTTCCTAAACTTATTTTTTATTAAGATATTATGGCTATGTTTAGTGTTATTCATCGATAGTATTTAACAAAAGAAAATACATTAAATATCCGACTAGGAAAGGTGTCTTTAACATCAAGTTGTTCAAGCTCGATGTTTAACAAAACCACCATAGCAAGCAACATGCGAATAGAGCTATATTTCACAATAGGAGAAAATACTTTAAACTTGATGTCTTCTATATAAACTTTTTCAATCTCCTGATCTCAAACAAGTTTTGTTTGCTCAGAATAAACATATGTACAAACGAGCATAATTTGAATTGGAGTTTGACAAAGAACCTGTAGAAACTGATGAAGAATCTATAATAGTGATGCCCAGAAATAAACCATTTGATTCAGAATTTGATGAACTTGTAGAATCTGATAAAGAGAACCTACAATAGTGATGCCCTGAAATAAATAGAAACTACTAATTACCATAAAAACTAATTTCAAGCCATATATACCATAGTAAATAAATGGACTTGTGGACTGGACCAATAGAAATGTCAAGTGAAAAGATATCGTGCACAATATCAAAAGGCTTTTGAGCTATGTATATATATATATATATGTTTGTTTGAGCAAAGCATTCCTATCCACCTTCCCCTACAAATTTCCATGTTCAAAGTAGATCATTATAGGTATATAATATATGTTCCTCACTCTTGCACAGCACACTAATCCAATCCAATGCACCAACCCCGTAGGGGATGACATGGTGGTGTGGGGATGAACTTGTGACCGTAAGGTCATGGGTTCAAATCCATGACAACTCCCAGGTCTACTTGTCATACATAGTTCGTCTAGTGTGACTTGTTTTGTCGAACCTAATTTGCAGGATATTAGCCACATTATCAACAAAATAATAATAATAGTGTATATATACCAACATCATTAAGCTTTGATTTTCCACAATCTAATGACTATGAATGAGAGGTAAAGCACAACATCCACTAAATCATAATTTCTTCATTATCCAAAATTATTATCACAGTTTTGATTGATGATGAAAGTTATTTGAACCTAATCTGCTTCATCATAACTTCCATCAATTGCCAAAATCTCATAGTCATTTTTTCTTATAATCAATTCCTAATAGCCGCTTAGTCCCACAATATATTCTTACAACAACATATTATTAAGATTCAAGAACAAACATACCTTACTATGCATCCTTTTCCAGATTCCCGAGGGATTGATTCTTTTGCATTTCATTATATGTGTATGTTCTTGTTCAGCTGCGCCACGCCGATGATAGCTCTCTGTCGACATCTTCTTCCCACCAAGTTGCACTCTGCAACACGGATATGAAACAAGTATCAGAAGCTACCCGATTCAAGTTCATTCAATTCATACACATTATACGCCACTCGATTCACATTGTATGCATCAAGAGAAAAACCTTGATGCCTTTTCGTAGGAATTCCAATGAGCTTCCTTGTTCCTCCTGAAGTCCAAGCACTCTCAGCAGTTCTTCCTTAGTCTACCAATAGAAAACAACGCTTAATTTCATCGGATGCAAGTAGAAATGAATTTAGACACAAGAACTTACTTCACCCAGCGTGAAACGCGACGCACTCTCTGCGACGCAAGCATAGGCGCCGTCTTCTTGTTTCAACATCACTTGCCAGGGCCCTGAGGGGAGAACATTTATCATTAGTTAACATTCTCTATGACAATGTTTATTTAGTGAGTGTGCCGATTCTCTCACCAGGGTATTGACGGAATAATGCTCCACTGTAGTTCAGTAAATAGGGCGCCACCGCGACTGTCTTTCACGTTTAAGAACACCAACAAAGCAACCATCCATGTGTACATAAAAATTCCCAAGAGAATCGATGGAGATAATATATCCAAATGATTGATACCTTGGAATAGTCCCGCGTACGGATGTAGAAAACAGGAACAAATTGTGAAAGAAACCGGTAATGCACGTCCCTGCTGGGAAATCCTATGAGGCCCAGGTCAGCACTGCATGTTTTGACAATGCTGTTAGAGAAAGCAAATGGAAAAGGCAACACACCATCAATGATCCATAGGGTCTGATAGGAATTCTTGACATACCGTAATGTGTCCAGTTCTAAATTGAAGAGAAGAGTCGGCGTGGTGGGCGCAAAGTTTTCCTAAGTTGTCAAGAAATTTGAGCACAAATAAGTTATTCAGTTGACAACATTACCGGTGAAAGACAGATATTGGCTCAATCTTACACCATTAGACTAGAGGTGGCAATTTTGGGCCGGCTAAGATAAGAGTAGTATAAAACCAAAAGAATATCTCAATCTTACGCCATTAGACTAGAGGTGGCAATTTTGGGCCGGCTAAGATAAGAGTAGTACAAAACCAAAAGAATATCTCAATCTTACGCCATTAGACTAGAGGTGGCAATTTTGGGCCGGCTAAGATAAGAGTAGTATAAAACCAAAAGAATATCTCAATCTTTCGCCATTAGACTAGAGGTGTCAATTTTGAGCCGGCTAAGACAAGAGTAGTATAAAACCAAAAGAATATTTCAATCTTACGCCATTAGACTAGGGATGGCAATTTTGGGCCGGCTAAGATTAGAGTAGTATAGAACCAAAATTTGAGTTTGAATTTTGGCATTGTGTGGCATAAGGAATTCAGAAATCATACATACCACATACTTCTCTATAGTAGACAGATCCCGAGTGCTACAGCCGAGGAAAATATAAAGTGAAGGCGGCTCGTCAGATTTCCAGCGACCTGCTGCAGAGGTAAATACTGCAGTGGTCAGCCTTAAAAATGCATCCAGGATGCACATTCTTATTAGCAATCACATTATATAAGATCAAATAGAAAGTTATCATATATGCTAACATGTCTACTGATGACTTTGTCTGTTCATTCCAGGAAAGGCCTTTGTATAAGTAACACCTTTAGGTGTGATTTTGGGTGATTAAAAGCCGTAATTACTCAAAGTCAGTGATATTAGCTAAATCAAGAATATGTAGGTGGTATTAAATTATCCTAAATTATTATTATGTTAAATGAGTGTTTTGTTTTTCATTAATAGCTAAATTAACATTAGTTATATCATATAAGTCTAAAGAGCATTTTAGGCAAAAGTAACAATCCTATATAATAACATCAAGGTAAGCATTGGATTATTTTATTTCGTGATTATATAATCTATTAAAGTAATACCATATACTATAATCTTTTATAGTAAACACAACTTAATGAAGTACCAACAAAATGATGAATATTGATTTAATACTTCTTTACCTACATACAATTTAGTTTCTAAAACTAGAACATACAACAACCTGTCAACTTTCCATGATTACACTATAGGACCTAATCATTAAATCTCTTTTCTACCTCATCAAATGACTGCCCTAAGAAATGTCCAGAACTTTAATTTTCGGGATAAATGATATCACTACAATGACAAAGATGAGAACAGCATCAGGCAATATATTAGTTCACTTTGTTCATTTCTTCAATGTGTCTTCACATGTAGAACATAACGGTATGTTATTTTTATCAAGTTTTTATGAAGTTTAGACATTATGTGGGGGTGCTAAAATTAATCAAACCAACCTTCATCTTCATCTCCAAATTCGAAATCAAAAGTGTCCCTTAAGGATTTGAAAAATGTTGTGACGGCACCACTAGGAACATCATCCAAGGATCCTATTGTTATACCCTCAATCTGAAAAGTTTCAGCTCAGATTGTGAATGATTCAATGAAATTTAACAAAGCACAGCTGAAATTTTTCATTTCAGATATTGGCATATAACATTCTTAAATTGAGGTATGAAATTTCCTAATCTTAGTTGGAGTTTGTACAGAATAAATAAAAAAAAAATACTAGATCATCAATAGGCATAACCTGTAAAGGGGTTTTTACTTAAATTCATAGTTTAGTTTAAAACATTCAAGAACAACATCATAATCCATCAACACTAGAGACATACAAAATTTCAGCTGAAAGTTTACCAAGAGTGCACTAAAAAAGTGGGGGCCACAGGTGTCATAAAAAGAGGGACTTGCAAAATTTCAAAAACAAAATAAATACCAAACATCATAATATGATTTTAATAAGATGCTTATTTTAATATTACTCATAGGGTAGAATTTACATTCTCAGTAAAATTTCATCTGATTTCTCAGGATTAACACATCAGTCAGCATCTCTACACACACAACAGATTCATGGCAGCTGGAAATAAAAATTGAAAACAGACCATTCGTAGAAGCTAGTATCCATGAAAAAAAAACATTTGTTAATTACCAAATCCATAGCAGTTCCGAAAAGTTCTGATGCCCTGCGTTTTTCAGGCTTATCAGGAAATACCTGAAAGCACAATCGCATTATATATTAAAGACCATCTGATTGAAGTTTTTTTCAAAGTATCTCCACACCAAGCTTACAATGCGTGCTCTCGTCTCTTGTTTCTCTTTCAACTTTTTAACAACAGCCAAGGCAAGCTGAATGTTGGCATCACTGAAATCATCCGATGAGCCCTACAAATCATAGAAGTAAATGTCATCTGCTAGATATATAAGCTTCCTTGACAAACCAATAAAAAATTAATCTGCTTGCTTCATTGAAAGTATTTCATGTTTTTAACCAATATCAGAGACAAAACAGAAACAATTTCACAAATGAAAGCCATAGTGGCAAGATAACATAGACAATAACTGAAAACACCATTGTCTCTAGAACAAAAGTTTTCGGAGGGATGGTAATACCTTATATGAAGAAACATTGCTAGGTAAGGGACTGGTAATGCACTCCAAAGATCGACGATCAAGAAATGATAGATGAATGTCAGTACTGAAACAAAAGTTCACTAGAGATAGTACAAGAAACCAAAATCTAGCTATAGGGATGAAAGTGATGAGTTATGCACTAATTTACCAAACACCACTTTTTTTTTTTTTTCCCATCACAATCGAACACCATTGTTTTCACGTTTAACATTGCTTTAAAAATCAACCTGGTGTAAATCAAATCACTGTGTTTTCTCTCATTGAAACTGCAGGACTTGATATAGGAAGCTTACATATTGCAAGCTACTATAACATCAAAACCTAATACATAACGGCAGATAAAATATCTAAGAATGCATTCATCTCAACATAAGATTGAACACAGGTAAGCCTCTGATTCTTAAATCACCTGAAATCTAGCTAAAAAGTCAGGTGCAGTATCGAATTGAAGCTGCTGATAGGCACACTATATCTGCAGGTACAATAAAAAATACAGAGAGATTATAAACGTACGGGAATTCAATTTCGAGACGAGTTTTTCCATCTTGGAGAGCGTAGTAAAGCGAAGTGGCGGCGTCCGACACAAGAACCTCATATGATCGGGGTTTGTAAACCGCAACGCCAACCTTTGGGTTAACTCTTGGCTCAAACTTAGCGGCTTCTGCGCTGATTGTTCTCGTCTTGCGGCAATAAGCAGTTAGTGTGCTGAGTTTGAGTGGAGGAGAAGAAGTAGAGGACAGAGGTGGAAAGCGTCCCCGGGCAGGAGCAATTAGAAGAGAATTGTACCTATTTCCTGCACCGATTTTGATCGCCGGAGTAATTCCGGCGGCCGCATTGAGGGGCATGGCGGTGATGTGTGTGGAGAGGGAACGATAACGGTTCTTCAAAGTTTGGGTGGTTCAGAAACGGTGACGTATTAGAATTTAGAAAATCGCATTTATTTTAAATATCATCAACAAAATAAAAAATTGTACTAACTTTTTATTTTGTTTATATTTTTATATTTTATTTATTTTATTTTATTTTTATTTTGTTTTAAGCTTATATTTTATATATTTTATTTTTGTTACTTTTAATTTTATTATTTTTATTATAATTTTGTAATTAATATTTATAGTAAATTATTTATTTATTCAATATTTATTAAAATTTATAATTAATTGATTATGGTAAAATAATTATAAATTATATATATTAAATTTAAAATATTATAATATTTATAAATAAAAAATAACATTAATTATAAAAAATATCATAACATTAAATAAAAGATAAACTTAAGAATACAATATAAAATTATGCGTACAATATTATTCAAAATTATTTAAATAAACTTAGAAATATAATATTGAATTACTTTATGTTGTACTAATTATGTTTAATCCAATAATATTATTTTTTTAAATCTATATTTATATTTTTAATAATATTAATATTTTTATGCTTTAATTTAAATATACATTAAAATATTAATAAATATAATTTTTTGGTATAATATTTAAAATATTAATTAAAAATATTATTATAACTTAAATGTATAAAAATAATAAAATATTAAATTTTATTTGTAATTTTAAAAATTATATAAAATAAAATATAAAGAGAATATTTTTTAACCCTGCAAAGATGGAGGGTACGATTGGAGAAAAGACCTGTAAAAATAGAGGGTATAGTTGGAGATGAGTTACTGTAGCAGAGACCCTGCAAAAATAGAGAAATGTATTGTAGACCTTTCAAAAATGGAGTTATGGGTTGAAGATGGTCTTACAATGGCTCGACAATTGAAAAATTAACCGTAAAAAATTGTGTATACTCTTGGATTCCTCTTTGTTTGGCGCCGGGTACATTTTTTTTTGTAAGTAGATTAATAAATAGTATCCATCTTAATCGTTGGACACAAATTTTAATAAAATACATGAAACTACGGGTGTGAAAACAATGTGTTATGAACGAGAATTTCTCTATGTTGGCTATGTCGTGGCATTATTGATTGGGATATATTTCACTAAATTAAGAGATTAATGAATGAATTGATCCTTTCTAACGAGTCTATAAAGGTGCACAAAAAGTTCAAAATTGTTGAAAATTCTTCATACATATAGTTTTTTGTCCAGACATGGATACAAGTGGTCCGAAATACTTTATTACCTTTATCGATGATTATTCACGATATATGTATATATATATATCTATTTGCTTCATTATAAGGATGAAACTTTAGAAGTCTTTAAAGTTTTTAAGGCTGAAGTTGATAAACAATGCGGAAAATAAATTAAAATAGTGAGATCTAATAGAGGTGATGACTATTACGAAAGATACACTGAAAATGGACAAGTTGTCGGTCCATTTGTGAGGTTTCTTACAAAAATGAGATTGTTGCCCAATACACTATGCTTGATTTTCCGGACTATAATGGTATTTCGGAACAAAGAAACCGAACGTTAATGGACATGTTAAGAAGTGTGATGAGTAATGTAAAACATCTTCAATTCTTGTGGATTGAAACACTAAAGACGACTGCGTATATATTGAATCGGGTACCAACCAAAACTGTCTTAAGAACACCTTCTGAATTATTCAAAGGTTGGAAACCGAGTTTGCGATATATACTTGTTTGAGGATGCCCATTTGAGGCGAGAATTTAGAATCCACAAAAAAAATGCTAGATCCAAGGACTATTAGTGGGTATTTCATTGGATATGCCGAAAAGTCCAAATGATATAGATTATATTGTGTATCTCATAGCACTAAAATTGTAGAATCGAGAAATGCTAAATTTTTCGAGAATGACTTGATTAGTGGGATCGATCATTTTCAAGATACTCATTCTAAAAGAGATCACTATAAATTTCAACTTACTGAATCGAGTGATAGATTGGTTTTCGTCCACTCCTCAAGTTCCAATAGGTGTTTTTAGAAGATTAATTAATGAAGTTTCACAAGCTCTTGAAAATGATCATGTAGATTGAATTTTTAATGAAAAATATCAAAAAAAAGAAAAGTTGAACAACTTGATAATGAATAAGTTGGTCAGCAAGTTTTTCATGATAACGACTAAACAACATTGAGAAGATCTACATGAGTCTGAAAATCAGCAATTTCTATTGATTTTATTGTGTATTTGCAAAAAATTGGACTGTAATGTAGAAGCCGCAAATAATCCTAAAAGTTTTCACAAACTATGAATTCTAAAGAATCCAATTTGTGGCACAATGACACGAAAGATGGGATAAATTCTACAAACAAAGTCTAAGATCTTGTCGAGTTGTTTGATGGTGTAACCATCGGATGCAGATGGGTCTTCAAATGAAAGTGAAAACGACCTTCCTAAATGGTGATCTATAGTAAATAAAGAGAATGAATCGATTACACCAAGAGATTTTCTCTGGTATCTAAGAAAGATTCTCTCAGTGTGATCATTGCATTAGTAGCTTAGTTTAATTTTGAGTTACATCAAATGGAAGAGAAAACGACATTCCTAAATGGTGATCTATGGGGAAATATTTACATGAAACGACTTGAAGGATTTACCTCTAGTGGTGGAAAAAATTTAGTTTGTAAGCTTAATATATTCATATATGGATTGAAAGAGGGCTCCCGCCAATGGTATTTGAAATTTCATGATGTTACATTTTCATTCAACTTTGAAGAAAACGTCATGGATCATTATATATACTAGAAGGCCAGTGAGAGTCGTATTTGCTTCCTTGTGTTGTACGTGGATGATATTTTTCTTCCGACTAATGATAAATGGATATTATATGAGGTGAAACAATTTCTTTCAAAGAGCATTGACATAAAAGATATGAGAGAGACATCTTATTTCATTGAGATTAAGATCCATATAAATAAAAATCGAGATATTTTGGTTTTGTCTCAAGAAGCCTATATCAAGAAACTTTTAGAAAGATTTAATATGAAAGATTGTTCACTGAGTGTAGCTCCTGGTGTGAAGGGTGACAGACTTGATTTGAGTCAGTGCCCGAAAAATGATTTTGAGAGGCAACGCATGAGAAACATCCCTTATGCTTTAGCAGTCGGAAGCTTTATGTATACTCAGTTTGCATCAGACCTGACATAACCTATATTATTGGAGTATTAGGGAGATATTAGAATAATTCGGTGTTGACCACTGGAAAGCTGCAAAGCAAATGATGAGATACCTTCAAAGTACGAAGGATTTTATGATCATGTATAGACAAACTGATGTCTTGGAAGTAATTGGCTACTCTGATTTGGACTACGCTAGCTGCATTGACACTCTGAAATCCACATCGGGTTATCTGTTCATGTTGGTTGGTGGAGCTATTTCTTGAAGAAGTGCGAAACAGTCTATCACTACTACTTCTACCATGGAGGTTGAGTTTGTTTCATGTTTCAAAGCTAGCTCGCATGGGGTATGGTTGAACAGTTCCATATCCGGGCTTAGAGTCGTTGACTCTATTTCTAGGCCGATCAAGTTGTACAATGACAACTATGTTGCAATTTTTATGGTTAAAAATAATAAGAGTGAGAGTCGAAGTAAAAACATCGACATGAAGTATTTAGGCTTAAGAGAACATGTCAAGAAAAATAAAGTGCTAATTGAACACGTTAGTACATAGTTGATGATTGTCGATCCCTTGACTAAAGGCATACCACTAAAGAATTTTAGGGATCATGAAGCATGCACGGGACTTGGTTCCATAATGTAATTTGTTTGCATATATTGTTATTGAAACTTTTATTCGATCTAGTGTTTTCTCGCTTTATTGTGCAAATTTTTATTTGTTCTTGAAAAAACTCACTTAAGTTTAACCTGAAATAAATATATAATTCATTAATTAAGTTGTGAACTTAGTTTAAGACACTTAACATATTGTAATACATGGAAGGTAATATTCGTTTATAGAAGACCTACCGCCATGATTTGTATGCAAAATTTTTCGTTATGTTTGTGATGGTTTGAGTAAACCAATTAGGATAATGTTAGTTTAATAGTCTATTTGATTAATTAAGGTTAAGATTAATATTTAATTTATATATATATATCAATTGGATTATGGTTTAAATTAATATGACTATTTAAAGTAAACGTATATTGTGGTCCACTCTCTCTCCCATTAAGTTCATCATGTTGAGAATTTACATGAGAAGTGGTAGAAAATCATGATGAACAATTTTTATTTGTTTTTTTTTTTCCTGATTAATATACATATATATCTTCTTTTATGGGTTACCGAACCTATTCTCTAAAAAAAGAATACACTATCGATATTCAAGAGCGAGGGTTTTGCAACATCTTCTTGGAGTTTTTATCGATTTTTTGTAAAAGAGATACGAAGTTCATATTAGATTTTGTAGCAATGTTTGGATGTTAATATAATTATTGCATTTGCTTCCGCTAAATTTATTCAATTTAATCATGATTAATTGTGATAGAAATTACATATTTAAATCGATTTGCAAAAATTAAATTGTTTCTAACACACGCTTCAAAGGATGTTGTAAATATTCCGATATTGATGGCGCCATTATCTGGACAAGTACATTAAACTTATCCAACGATTTTGGCATATCACTTTCCTCCGGCTCCGGTATGCCTATAACTCGAACTTTTGGTAGCTGACAAAATGAAATTGCTGAAGCTAAACTAATGGGCAGATATTCGTCGTTGCAAAATGGATCTCTCAATTTTTGCTACAATATGTCGAAACAACAACAAAAAATCGAAACATAAGTATAATATGCTACATTAACCTGCACTCAAAGGAAAATTGTGCTCGACGCATCATACTATCTTTACAACAATCTACTGTAATAAAATGAAAATAAAAAACATTTCAACAAGAAAAATTCAGGAATG